TGCCAAGAATTGTTTGCTGGTATTTCACAGACGCCTCGTGGTCTTTCTCTCCTGTAGAGATAGCTCTTTCAATCTCAGCAATCACATCAGGGTCAAGATCCGAAGACTTCACTTCAAGGCCGGACAAAATATCATGGTAGAATCGATAGAAGAAGCCCATTGCTAGCGACTTGCGGTAAGTCGCCATACCACCGGGGACTCCGAAAGGAAGATTGAAGTCAATTTCCAATGCACTCATCACAGCTTCCAGTGTTGCAGGATCGGTAAACTTCTTGCCAACCAGCGCAGCCTCGGCATTCTTCGCAGACACAGTCAACGGCGCCATGCCACCAAAGATAAGGTTGCAACTAATCACATCGTTGGTCTCGGATAACGAGACACGCTGTGCAGATGTAACGATAGCAATATCATCATCCTTGCGCTTCGCTTGCTTGTAAGCACGGAAATATTCACCCTTGGAGGCAGCAACAGGAATTCGAAGGCTGGAGATGATAGCGTCTTGCGGCAAAGCGGTTTTACGATAGCCAACAAAGAATTCTGTCATAGGAATTTCCTTCTCTCCCGAGAGTGACTTGGCAACAAGAGTGGTGTTCGTCGCGACGAGACACGGATTCAAGTCTGCGATTGGGGATGCGGTTGCCAGATTTCCAGCTGGAGATGCAACATTTCGAATCTGTCGTCCAGCAAAATAGTGCAATTGTTTCTTAATCGCTTTGAAAGGCTGAGCTCGAACGGCTCCATAACGCCTGATTGCTTCCTCGCAGACGGACTCCAAGTCTGTCAACGATATATTGGCACCAATTTCAAGGTAGTCATCGTGGAAGGAGTACTGCTTCAACTCGGGAATATCGCCCACATAAACTGAAGCGGCGTAGTTCATAGCCTTGAATTTGATCTCGATCTGGGTTTCCGTGCTTCCGCCAATCAATTTGGAATCCGGGTGGATATTTTTGATTTGCAAGAGCTGTTCAACTGTCACAGGCCGATACCACTTCTTCTTTTTGTTTCCATATACTAGGGGTCGGAACTCGTGCTTCCTCAGCGCCGACGGGAAGATCAGCTCTGTATCCGGACTATAAGCCTTGAAGTCGGGGGCTGGGAATTTTGGCTCCGGCTTCTCCTCATCAATTGTTGCAGAAGATCCCTTACAACAGCCCCCGGCGCCCTTTTCCATGCAGCAACCAGAACCACCGTTGGCACTTGCTTTGCCACAGTTGTTGCGAGAATTGAAACTCTGGGCGGCGTCAAGGATAGGTCTGTAACCCGTACAGCGGCACAGGTTTCCATCAAAGGCCTCTTCGACCGCATGTTCATCAGGAGTAGGGTCATTTCGGAGCAAGGCGTATAGGCTCTGTATGATATTAGTAAAGCAGTCTTCGAGTAAGACATTCCAGGGGCAGAGTAATAGGCCATTAGTAACATACCATGATGATTCCCGGGGTACAGAAACCACATTGACTCCCATTTGCAACAGCGATCCGTTGTTGGACCGCATGGGGGTTGTTCACAGTTCCTATTCCTTCGATTGTGATGACGTGTTTTCCATCGATGCTGACCAGGGGTGCAAGACAAGCGTTGACGGAGGCGTGATATATTTTCTTTGTGGTAGGGTTGATATGCGAAACTACCTGAGAGCCAGCAGCTTGTTTTTAGCAAGATTCAAGATTACATATAATTATGATCGCATGATTTGATGGACACATACCACTGTACAAGCACCACATCCTCCCTCGGCACAACCAAGCTTCGTTCCTGTCAGCCCGATACCTCTCAGGTATTCCAGCAGTGTCACTTCAGGGTTGACAGCATCGACGGCAACCTTAGTACCGTTTAGATAAAATCGGATTGTATCATCCCAGTCCTCGGTAAGCTGCGCCAGCGAGGTCACCTTCTCGACTGCAACCTCAGAATCTGTTTCTAAGATGCCTGGCGCCATTGCGACAACCTTGGATGAAGGGGGAAATAAAAGGCAGGATAGGACAGTAAATCACGTCTTCAGGTGTTCATGTTGGTCTATATATCTGGGGAACCGCAAAGACCTTCCTAAAGCTCGATGGCAATGAAGTTAAGTCATATAACCAGTGAGAGGGGCAAACAGTGCGGATGAGTTATCGCAACTCGATAGGGAACCCCACCCGAGCTCCACCGTGGAACCAGTTGGGTGTCATGCGGGGATCGCCACAGTCCGATATGGACGGACGCCTATCAGAACCCGGTGTATTACTAACCAACTTGGAACCTTCATTCTATATGAAAAATTGCACGACGCCGGAAATGCTGGAGTACATCACACAGAAAAAAAAAATACATATACTGGACCACAGCCTTGAGGACCATAGCCACTGTAGAAGGAGATGGAAGTGTAAGAAAGTATAGAAGGGGGTAAAAGAGAGACAGAAAGAGAAAAGCAAACATAGTCAGCGCTTATGCTTTAGAGCCTGCAAATCCTCTCTCTTCCTCTTCCCATCTCTTGCGCTCAACAACAGAGCGAGCGCTGTAGATTTTAAAGTTAGCTCAATAATGTACTGATGCAATACAGGTCAACGTACCGGTAGGCCTTCACGAATCGCCAAACCTCGGTATCGGCCAGATTCCAGGCTTCAGCGACATTCTTTTTACTCAAACTGTCGGGCTGTTCGCTGTTGATTACATTGCGAGCCTTCTGGAGGAGCTCATATTCCCTGGCCACGCCTTGCTGGCTGGGGTTTTTGTTCTGCACACTTTCTTTATCACTGGCTGCGTTCGGGTCGATGGTACCGGCGCGAGGGATCTTGAATCCAAACTGCCATTCGAACTCATCAAGAAGCTCGGAAGGAAGGCTCTGGCCAGCTTCCGCAGGCAGAGACTCGACTGTCATCCATAGGGAGGTGGCAATAGCCTGATCGCCAGCGACTACCTGCTTAAATGCCATCCCTCTCCAGGAGCTGCCCATTTCTGGGCCAAGGTCTTCCTTGGTCACGTCGGTCAACCATGCATCACGCTCAGTTTCCCGGCGAATTTGACGTGTGGTGACCTCGTCAGAGCTCTTCTGCAGGCTGACAAGGGTATATGGGTGTGGTAGTGTGCCAATGGTGAATAAGAAACTGGTCTTTTTGTAGGTAGCAGGCTGGCTAATGAGCATGGGCTGCTTCGAAGAGCCACAGGGACGGCAATCGGGAAGGTTGGGTGGACAGGAGTCTGGGACAGGAGATTCTGGGCACTGGATGAGTGCCTTCGCTAGTCGTAATGCGGGTTCCACAAGGGCAGTGGTGTGCTGAGGAAATGGCTTCAGCACGGCCAAGCCAGCTGGGAACGAATTCTGAAAAGTATTGTGAAGATGGGAATTGATAAGCTGGGCCAATAGCATTCGTCCACCGGACGGGCTATGGCTCATCTTTTCTTGCAATGTCGGGTAGTGGGAGCCGATGGTGGCATGTTTGTAATAAGCAAGGCTGCTGGGGGTCATCACTTTGAAAAGCTCAGGGTTGATGAGCTCCCCAAACGATGTGGATTTTTCGTCCATTTTCTTCACAGCACCATCGATTGCCTCATCGATGCGGTGCTTCTCTGCCGAAAAAAGGCCGCCCTGAAAGTTATCGAAACGGATTATAAATTCAGGTTCGGTGCCCTGTCGTAGAGCCTTCAATAGATCGTCATCGTACCGTCCCATTGGGAAGCACTCAAAATCAGCGAGTAATCCAGATCCCATATGACCCCATGCCAGCCAGCGGAAGACCTCATTCTCCAACTCGGGTGAGATTGTGAGTTTCTGCACCAATTCATATTGTGGGTTCTTCATCGCATCTCCCGGTGTCAAAACAACTGGCCGGAATCCCTGAGCAAACCAAGCTCGGCGCCAGGCCAGAAGAAGCTCCGCATCAGCATTCTGGTCCTCCTTTTGTTCGCTGCTAGAGTGTTTCTTGGGGTTGTACTTGGGATTATAGTACGTGTATATCGGGCGGCGGTCGAGTAGGGGAGGAAGGACGGAGCGATCTTCGTCCAAGGTGATGGCGGAGGAAAATGGGTTCAGCCATTCCCAGTTGCTAAACCATTTAGACTCGCCGCTGGTGCTGTTGGTTTCTTCCGGCGGCGGTTCGTGTGAAGGGGCTCGGAATGTCGGAAGTTTAAGATCACTCAAAGAAGGCAGATGAGGCTGAGGTAGAAATTTGGCAGGACCCGAAGCTGCTTCTCCCTCGACGGTGGGATTGGGAATGGGCGAGGACGAGAAGATGAATAGAAGAAGGGCAACAAAAACAATAATAGCCAATAGACCTGTGCTGCGATGCGGAATCATCTTGCGCACATCCGATCCACCAGCAGACCTTCACAAAGGTCTGTTGGGTACAAAATTATCAAAAAGAAAGAAAAGTAACACGGGCTCAAGTCGTGGAACCGTGCCCGTGATACTGTTTGGGGATAGGTCGCGAGGAACCGGATGCGGCGATTCCAATATTGACAAACAGTTGGCGATTATGTCGAAATGAGATAGAAGATTATTCCCTCAATCGAAATGTCCTATGCGCCTGAAAATGCGCTCCCTTGATTCAATGATGTCAGTCGGGACAAATCTCCCCTGAACGCGAGACAAGGACCACCTTTGTCCGCCTTAGGCATTCAAGGGCCCTTGTTTTCGCTTACTCATACACTGTGGAACTTGTCAACTTATTACGCCTCCTTGATCCGTCCATAGTCTCGTTTCATACTTGAGTAATGTATATTATAGATGGAACTCAGTTACTAAGACCATTCAGTTGCTCGGGTTTTATTTTCTCGTCTACGTTTTATGTATATTATCATGCATCTTCCAAATCCTTCGCCATCATGAATTATGATCTATGACATGCGAGCACAAAGGCGGTGGGGATACGCAATTTGTTGTGGGGAAAGCAATCCAACCAATGATATGCAGTTAACCATGGCGAAATCGGACTTTTCATTGCCCCTCCGTGGGGATAGTTGACTCATTGTGCTTTTTACAAGTCTCCCGCAAACTTGTACGAAGCATTGCCATTGTTACAATCATGGCTGTGGGAACGGCTTCGTTGCAAGAGCGCTTGGAAAAGTGGTCCCAGCGCTTAAATAATTTGACTGTTTCGCCATTGACTCGGGACTATCCCGACACCCAAAAGCAGGATGGCAAACGCACCATTGAGGCCTTTGAGTCTGTCAAGCTCCCCAAGGATACCCAATTAGCTGTGAAGAAGCTGTCGGGGTCCTCTTCTTCGGATTTTACCGTTTTCTTGACTGCCTTTGTGGTCCTGGTTGCTCGTTTGACCGGCGACGAGGACATCGCCGTGGGCACCAGCGTTGGTGATGATGGCCGCCCGTTCGTTATCCGGGTCCCCATTAGTGCGTCGGAGACCTTCACTCAGCTGTATGCTAAAGTGGACAAGGTAAGACAGGTTATTTGAAATTGTTTGTTTGTTGGAAATATACTAACCATGCCCTCAAGGTCTTCCAAGAAGGTGCCTCCGATATCGTGCCCCTCGGTAGCCTCCGCTCTTACATTCAGGACAAGTCCAAGTCCGAACAACCTCCCATCCTTTTCCGATTCGCAGCCTACGATGCCCCTGCCGCCTCACAGGAATACCCTGCCAACACTTTTGATAGCACTGACTTGGTGATCAACGTTGCACCGGGAAGCTCAGAGGTTGAGCTGGGTGCCTACTACAATCAGCGTCTCTTTTCAAGTGCTCGCATTGCTACTATTCTCAAGCAACTTGCTCAGATCACTATCAATGCGGCGGCGAACCCGGAGGAGGCCATTGGCCGGGTGGATATGATGACCGAAGACCAGCGCTCTCTTCTGCCAGACCCAACCAAGGACCTGAACTGGTCAAAGTTCCGTGGTGCTATTCATGATATCTTTTCTGCCAATGCAGAGAAGCACCCCGAGAAGGTCTGCGTAGTGGAGACAAAGTCAAGCAACTCTCCCCACCGAGAGTTCACTTATAAGCAGATTAATGAGGCTTCCAACATTCTCGGACACCATCTTGTGCAATCCGGTATCCAACGCGGTGAAGTCGTCATGGTGTATGCCTACCGCGGCGTCGACTTGGTTGTTGCTGTCATGGGTGTCTTGAAGGCTGGTGCTACTTTCTCCGTCATCGATCCCGCATATCCCCCGGAGCGTCAAAATATTTATTTGGATGTTGCTCGTCCTCGTGCACTAGTCAGCATTGCCAAGGCCTCTCGGGATGCTGGTGAGCTCTCGGATATTGTCCGCTCATTCATCGCCGAGAACCTCGAGCTCCGCACAGAAGTGCCTGCTCTTGCCCTTCAAGACGATGGAACCCTTGTTGGTGGTACCGTCGATGGTCAGGATATCTTTGCAAACCAGGTGGAGCTGAAGTCTAATAACGTTGGTGTCGTGGTCGGCCCTGATTCGACTCCGACGTTGTCTTTCACATCTGGTTCAGAGGGTCGCCCCAAGGGTGTCCGCGGACGCCACTTCTCTCTTGCCTATTACTTCCCCTGGATGTCTGAAACCTTCAAGCTCACTCCCAACGACAAGTTCACCATGCTGAGCGGTATTGCGCACGACCCCATCCAGAGAGATATATTCACTCCCTTGTTCTTGGGTGCCGAGCTATTGGTCCCAGCCAGGGAAGATATTCAGAATGAGAAGCTCGCGGAGTGGATGCAGCAGTATGGTGCTACTGTTACTCACTTGACTCCAGCTATGGGTCAAATTCTTGTCGGTGGTGCCTCGGCGCAGTTCCCGGCTCTTCACCATGCCTTCTTTGTCGGCGATGTTTTAATCAAGCGTGACTGCCGCTCACTCCAGGGTCTGGCTCCCAACTGTTTCATTACTAACATGTACGGCACCACGGAGACTCAGCGTGCTGTGAGTTACTTTGAAATCCCTAGCTACTCGAGCCAGGAGGGCTACCTTGATACTATGAAGGATGTCATCCCGGCAGGCCGTAAGAGACCCTTCTCACCATTTACTATGATAAAAGCTAATATTTTTTTAAGGTGGTATGCTGGATGTTCAAATGCTGGTTGTTAACCGCTTTGACCCTACTCGTATTTGCGCCATCGGTGAAGTTGGTGAGATCTACGTGCGTGCTGCCGGTCTCGCTGAAGGCTACCTGGGCTCCCCCGATCTGAACACCAAGAAGTTTTTGACCAACTGGTTTGTGAAGCCTGAGGTCTGGACTGAGAAGGATAAGGCTCAGGACGGCAAGGAGCCGTGGCGGGAGTTCTATGTTGGCCCAAGAGATCGCCTTTATCGCAGTGGTGACCTTGGAAGATACACTCCAACTGGTGACGTCGAGTGCTCGGGTCGTGCTGATGACCAAGTGAAGATTCGTGGTTTCCGTATCGAGCTGGGTGAAATTGATACTCACCTGTCTCGTCACCCCTTGGTCCGTGAGAATGTCACTCTAGTCCGACGTGACAAGTTCGAGGAGCCAACTCTGGTCAGCTACTTCGTTCCCGATATGAGCAAGTGGGCTCAGTGGCTGGAGAGCAAAGGTATTCAAGACGATGATTCTACCGATGGTATGGTTGGTATGCTGCGACGCTTCCGTCCTTTGCGTGATGATGCTCGCGACCATCTCCGCAGCAAGCTCCCTACCTACGCCGTGCCTACTGTTATCATTCCTCTCAAGCGTATGCCGCTCAACCCCAACGGCAAGATCGACAAACCCGCTCTGCCTTTCCCTGACACCGCGGAGCTTAGTGCCGCCGCCCCTCGCCGCCGCTCCTCCGCGGTTCAAGCACTGTCCGAGACTGAGCAGGCTCTTGCTCAGATTTGGGCCAAGCTCATCCCCAACGTGACCTCCCGTATGATTAGCCCCGATGACTCGTTCTTCGATCTTGGTGGTCACAGTATTCTTGCGCAACAGATGTTCTTCGACTTGCGACGCAAGTGGCGGGGTATTGACATTAGCATGAACTCTATCTTCCGCAGCCCTACCTTGAAGGGCTTTGCTGGTGAGATTGATCGTCTGCTTGACCGAGAGTCCTTTGCGACTAGCGACGACCCTGACAAGGGTGCCGCACAAGCTCACAATGAGCCCGACGATGAATACTCTAAGGATGCCCGGAAGTTGGCCAGCGAGCTTCCCAAGGCATTCCCTGTGCGGACGGAGCCAATGCTTGATAGCGAGCCTACCATCTTCCTTACCGGAGCCACTGGTTTCCTTGGTGCCCACATTCTTCGTGATCTGCTCACTCGCAAGTCTCCCTCCACTAAGGTTGTTGCCTTGGTTCGTGCCAAGAGTGAGGAGCAGGCTCTTGAGCGACTTCGGTCGACGTGCCGTGCTTATGGCTTCTGGGATGAGTCTTGGGCCAGCGACAACAAACTTCAAGCCATCTGTGGTGACCTTGGCAACCCGCAATTTGGCCTGTCGCAGTCCTTGTGGGATGATCTTACAAACCGTGTCGATGCTGTGATCCACAACGGTGCCCTTGTTCACTGGGTCTACCCTTACGCGACCCTCAAGCCCGCCAATGTGATGGGTACCATAGATGCCCTTAAGCTGTGTGCTACCGGCAAAGCTAAACAATTTGCCTTTGTCAGCTCCACTAGTGCCCTTGATAAGGATTACTATGTAGAGGAATCCGAGCGCAGTCTTGCGGCCGGTGGTGATGGTGTCAGCGAGGAAGATGATCTCGAGGGCAGTGCCGTTGGTCTCGGCACTGGTTATGGCCAGAGTAAGTGGGCCGGTGAGTACCTCGTCCGTGAGGCTGGTCGCCGGGGACTGAAGGGAACGATTATTCGGTCTGGATACGTGCTGGGTGACTCTACCACCGGTACCACCAACACCGATGACTTCCTGATTCGCATGTTGAAGGGTTGCATTCAGTTGTCTGCCCGTCCCAACATCAACAACACTGTCAACATGGTTCCAGTGGACCACGTGGCTCGCATTGTCATTGCCACTGCCTTCCACCCTCCTCGCACCCCTGTCGGTGTCGCTCACGTCACTGGACACCCTCGTCTGCGTTTCAACCAGGTAAGAAAGCTATCTACGGTTTCAAAAAAGCAAGCATCTAACCCCTCATTCTACGCAGTTCCTTGGTGCTCTCGAACTATATGGATACAAGGTCCCGCAAATTGATTACGTTCCCTGGTCTATGGCCCTGGAGCAATATGTCAATGACGGTCAGCACGACGACAAGGATTCTCAGCATGCTCTGTAAGTTTCCATACTTTTCATTCTATTAGCCAGTACTAACCCCTGAACAGCATGCCACTCTACCACTTTGTGACTTCGGACCTTCCTTCCAACACCAAGGCTCCGGAGCTATCAGATACCAATGCTGCTGCGGCTCTCAAGGCCGACGCCGCATGGTCAGGAGTTGATGTGTCTGCTGGTGCTGGCGTGACCGAGGAGTTGGTTGGTCTGTATGCCTCTTATCTGGTGCAAACCGGATTCCTCCCCGCCCCGACCGTCGCTGGGGCCCGTCCGCTTCCGCTTGCCCGTATCACTGAGGAGCAGAAGAAGACTTTGTTGAGTGTTGGAGGTCGCGGTGGTGCGGCTTAAAAGCTGTTTGTATATATGCGTTCTGAATTTTATGCCGCGTTTCTTGCGCACTTGACTTGATTGCTATTTTGTAGAAATGAGAAATGAAAAGACTTAAGTCAATGTCGAAATCGTATGTTTGGCCCAACCACAAGATGCTTCACCGATGGTGCCGATCTCGCTGTCCTCTCGGGAAGGTTCGCCCACACGTTCGCCCACCACAAGAGAGACTTTACCCCCTTTCTCGTACCTGATTTTTTTTTTATCTACTAGAACTTGCTCCTCTTTTCTCCTCTTGGCATTTTCTTCAGTCGTCGACCCTCAGTTTTCATCGTCATGTCTGCAGAAGGTACGTTGATCGGCGTTGAATTTTAAACTTCTTAGCGGGTTCTCTCCATCCCAATCGTTTTTTTCTTTCCCCAACATCTTGTTTCATCCCCCGCGGACCACCGGATACGCACGGCGCACACCGAACCAGTCGATTCCTGGAGTCGACGGTCAGTGTTGTTTATTTTCTGTATATCTTTGAAGGCCGAGGCTGCATTCTTTGCTCTTGTCATTGGCTCCTTCCCGAACACCTGTTTCCCCCCCACCGTTCGTCATGAACGTCGCACGATTGGCCGTGCGACCTAGCGCATTTGCGCGCACCGTGGAGGCGGCGCATAGCAGAGCAGGCCGCCAGTCATCAAACCCCTCAATTTCCTCTCTTTCCTCTCATTTCCCTCGTTTGCCTGTGTGGCTTTCATGTCGTTCTTCTTTCTCGACCTCCGCTCCTGCCTTCTGCGCAAAACACAACCCCTCCAATCCCGCCAGCGCAAACGCCGATCAATCTAACACCCCCAACTCAGATCGCTACTCGTCCGCTCTGCGGCAGAACAAAGAATGGGCCGCTCAGACTGCCCGCGAACACCCTGACCTTTTCCCTACCCTCGCGACCGGCCAACAACCCCAGATCCTGTGGTTAGGATGCTCCGACTCTCGCTGCCCGGAGACCACCCTGCTGGGCCTGAAGCCCGGCGATGTCTTCGTCCACCGCAACATTGCCAATATTCTGCACCCCGGTGACCTAAGCTCCGGCGCCGTCATCGAGTACGCCGTGCAGCACTTGCGCGTCAATCACGTCGTGGTTTGCGGCCACACCGCCTGTGGTGGCGTTGCCGCCGCCATGGGCAACAAGCAACTCGGTATTCTGGATCCCTGGCTGCTACCGCTGCGTCTCGTGCGCGAGCGCAATCTTGCTCTGCTGCAGAGCCTGTCGGAGGAGGAGGCAGCACTCAAGCTCGTTGAGCTTAATGTGCGCGAGGGTCTGGATGTGGTCAAGCAGAAGGGTGCCGTCCTCAACGCGATCCAGGAACGTGGACTCCAGGTCCACGGGCTGATCTACGACGTTGCCTCAGGTGTCTTGCGGGAATTGGACACACAGGACTCCGAGGAGACCATCAGGTCTCGATTGACGGCATTCGCAGTTCGCGATTAGAGGAGATTTCTGAACCATTTAGGAAATCATCTACGGAGGATTTGGAGAGTTTGGCGCATGTGATTTGTGGCAGTGAGGGGACATCATAGACCGATTGATTCTTTACTTTGGTGTTATCCAGTTGGAAAATGACGATTGAACGACAATTTCCGAGTGCTTTGGACAACACCGTGCTTTTCTACTTAATGAGGCTCCAAGGTAGACCTGTAGTTTGAAAACCGCTCAGCCTCACTTTAAAATGTCTCCACAGCACAGCTCATGGTGCCACTTGTATTGACTCAATAAACCCAAAACATGTCATTGGGGAAGAATATCAGCTCCCAAACAAGGCAGACTGAGGTTTCGGGAACTCAAAAGAGACTGGTCGAGATCCCAATGTGAGGCGGAGTAGGGTGACTCACGAGGCTCTGCCGATTACTCAGTGGGGCTGGAGCTGCAGATCGACCCGCTGAAGTGTGTATAGACCTATAGAGAGCCTTGCACCAGCTCAGTGAGCCCGTGTGATACAGGCAGCATTGCAGACGTGGCTGCCTTGTTGTCAGGGCAAGAGATTGTATTTAGCTGACAGCGCTTCCGCTTCCCTTGTTGTTAACTTTTCTTATGCTTACGATTCCTTCTCATCTTTTATCTATTTCCCCGCTTCTGTCAGAGCGGAATTTTCCATTTTTCATTCCCCATTCCCTATTCTCTCTATCACACTTGGCTTCCATCAAATCGAATCATGGCGCAGGACACCAACGGTACAGTGGTAAAAGAGACCGCTACTACTGCTGTGACTAATGGAAAAGCTACTGAATTGGGTGAATATGAGTGTAATGGCACCTTTTAAAAACTATCTAACATCTGAAATAATAGAAACCGCCCACGATTTGACCAAGGTCAAAATGACGAACGGAGCTGCCGCATGCGAATCCACTGATGCCATTGAACCCTCCGCTACAAACGGTGCTACAACACAGGATACCATGACCAACGGAACAGAGACGAAGAGTATGGATACAACACAGAAAGTGGATAAAGCTTCGGATGAACAGGCCAAGGGAGAGGCTGCTGAAAAGAAAGACACCAACGGAATCCTGACAAATGGGGAGAATAAATCAGGTAAATTCTTACCCGCAACATCGGAAGCACATGTGCTAATATACCACAAGAAGGCAAGACTGAAGACAAAACTGAGACCAAAGACAAAACGGACGAGGAGAACAAAGAGGAAGAGAAAAAGTATGAGCCTCATGGCTCTATCTGTGATGTTCACAAACTGTATCAGACGAAGCCCGACGAGAGTGGCAACACATCATGGACCAAGGACTACCCAGAGAGCCTTGTAGCACCAGCTGAGGACGAGGAGTCTGCACAATACGCATTGATTGTGCGAAATGCCAAATGCTATGATGGGCGCAAGAGTCTCTCGGTCCACTCAGTCATTGTTCAGAGCGAGCCGTTAAAGAAGTTCCTGGGTAAAGTGCTGGAAGACTACCCTGGTGTCACAACCACGCTCGAACGGCTCGAGTTCTATAGCCCCTTCAAGCCCATAGTTCACCGATGGGAGCAATTTATCCAACTCCGTGAAGAAGAGGAGGACCCAACAACGAAGGAGCACGTGGATCTTCTATACAAGGTTATCGAGGAAGAACTTCGCGATGTCATTGCCCGCAAAAAGGACATGATTCGCAATGGAGTTATCACTCACACCCTGATTTGGACAATCTTCGAGCCTGGCAATGAGATTATCGCCATCTCCGGTGGCCGAACCCGCGCATTTAAATTTCATGATGATGCGATCGATTGCCGTACAAAGGCATGGATCATCACCGGCCAATATGTAGACTTTGACGGCGAGGACTTTGGATACCGGGAGGAAGACTTCAAAATTTTCCCCTTTGTCGGCACTGCTCCTATTACATCGCTGGCTGTATCTCCGCTGAAGTACCATACTGATAAGGATTCCATTCGCGAATCTTTGATCACAAGGGGTAAACTTTGGGAATCGTACAAGGGGTACAAGTACAAAGCCTACGAGGGTGTCGCGAATGGGTTCTTCAACGACGAGATCATGAAGTATCACGTCAACAGCCGAATCATCATTGATACTGAAGCTTTCAACGTCTTCCATCCCACCGAGACTGTTCGTGTCTACGGAGAGAGTGAATGTCCGCAAGAATTGACCGAGCCAGAGTGGGTAATCGCAAGCCCTATGGTGCACGGGTACTCAATCAAGGATAAGGAGTGGCTGCAGTTCTACCTCGATAATTCGAAAGATATCGAGTGGAACACTCATGCCTTTGACTCATTAGTTCTACCTAAAGGCCAGGAGGATTTCAAGGACCTCATTTTGGCTTTTGCGAAAGCCCAGTCTAAGCACCTGGATAACTTCGACGACATTGTCCAGGGCAAAGGTCGTGGCATAATTATGCAACTCAGTGGCCCTCCAGGAGTGGGAAAGACATTAACTGCTGAGAGTGTCGCTGAAGTGATGCAGGTGCCTCTTTATGCCATGAGCGCGGGTGACCTAGGAATCAGCGCTGAGAAGGTGGAAAGAAGTCTCAAGGATATCCTGCGCATGATTCCCAAATGGGGCGCTGTTCTGCTTCTGGACGAAGCTGACGTGTTTATGGAGGCACGAACTGCAACTGATCTGATGAGAAATGAGCTGGTTTCCATCTTCCTACGGATGTTGGAGTACTACGAGGTGAGACTGTCCGACCTTTCCCATTGATACGGAACGCTCACTAAAATTGTATACAGGGTATCTTATTCCTTACTACGAACCGAGCTGAGAACATCGACCCGGCGTTTGAGTCTCGTATCCACGTGGCGCTTGCCTATCAAGACCTCGACACGACTTCCCGACGCCTCATCTGGGCTCAATTCATCGAGAGGACAGACAACACCGAAGAGTTTACGAGTGCACAGCTTGATAAGCTGGCTCAAGTGGACTTGAATGGCCGGCAGATTAAAAACATGTTGAAGACGGCTGGTCTGCTTGCTTGGTCCCAGCAGTCCAAACTCGGATTCCCGCATGTTCAAGTTGTGTTGAATCTGCGGAAAAACAATGCCCACAAGCCCGCCTTCTACATTTGATTTGATTTAGCTGAGGATACCCACTATGTTATTTGCTCTTCTTATCACTTCAATTTATAGCTATGCCGATTTACCATTCCAGTTCTTCCGCGTAACAGTTATAGCCCAACAACCTCTATCCAAAAGTGAAGAGTACATGGAGCCGAATACATTTTCAAAATCAAATCTTTGGGCATAACCCTCAGAACGGCAAGCTGATAATTACGCTCTCCAGAGGACGCATAGTGTGTCCATTAGGAAAGAATTGTTTGGTTAGCAAGTTAGACTGTATCTAGTTCGTGATATTTACAGCTAGTTCATGTTAATTGATAACTCCGATTTGTGATTAGGTTTTGAAATATCTGGTGCATTGCAGAGAAGGCCGAAAAGAGAGATTTTCTGATAAAGAACGACAAATCATTTGTTGCTGCTGATATTCAAAACAAAGTAGAATTAGCAAGGGATTATTGAGGATACCATACGGGTTTATATGATATTTTCCTGGGCTGCTTGTTGCTGCATCACTGTCGATAGTCTAAAGTCTAGAAATATCGTTAGTTTGTTCCAATATAATAGATAGGTGATAGTTGGATGGATAAAGAAACAACATACCTCGCACCATTTCATGGCGTTATTAAGTACCGACATATCTTCATGTGGGTCGGTATGGACACGATGTCCCTCCACAAGATACGCCGGGGGATCGCCGATTTGTTGTGGTCCAAGCTCGCCAGTCTCATACATGCGAATCAGGGCCTCGACATTGACTCGTTCGGCTTGGCCAAATTCAGTTTGGAGAAATCTTTTCAATTGCTCAACTCGCTCTGCCGGTTGCTGGATGTATGGTATTGGCATTGCAAGACTGAACTCGCGCTTTGGGTCTGGCATGGTGAAAATTTTTCGACAGAATAAGTCGATTATTGATGTAATTGTTACAGTAGGGTTGGAGTCTACATGATGAATGTTGCATGGTGGATAAGGAAGGCGGTGGGGTTTGAATTTGTTATGAACGCTGTTCCGGATCTCGGCATTTGTCGATTGCTCCAGTATCCGGCATCACCGAGTCAATTACTATGATACAGCGTAAAGCACGACGTAAATATTGAAGCTCTAAATTGCCAGTTTCCTCTACTCGATACTCGACCTCTGAATATCGATATACATCGTGCGTTCCGGGTTGTACAATATGATGCCCATTAAGTCTGGTGGACCCAACTAATCACATGATCTGAAACGGGATCTGCAGTTTTGCCACCTGTTGTTGGTCTGCTTTGTCCACTTTGGTCTGGGCATGTCTGGGCATTTTGTCAATGATCCATTGTAAGTATATCCGATGGCGTTGCCATTGATTGATTAAACGGGCATGTCAAATCAGTACAATTCATATAGTGTGGTATTTTTAGAATGACATGCCGATGACTTGTACTGTATGGAATCCAAGGGTGTCAAGCCTTGCGCAACCAGACCCTGAAATGGCACCATCGGCGGAGTAAGTGTAGTCCAATCAGAAAAATCCAACAAATACATTGACAGTACTGTGCATATGTACAATACTCTGCTTTGAATAGAACACATCACTATCACTGATCTTCGTGTTTCTCGTAAACAAGGGGCAAGCAGGCACCAATAATTAAAGTATGCGTCATCAGGGCGCTTGAGAAATGCTTACCGGCCCCTATTGGCTCCACCTGGGCCCAGAAGTCCCCGTGTCCACCCTCCAATCGCCAATTTTACCTACCGTTCCAGCCTTGACCCCTCTGGTCAATCAATGGTCACGGTGTTACCGATCTGCGAATGCGATCTGCGCACTGCCCTTCCGTCCCCTGGCCGCTGATTCTGCGCTCCTTCATGGCTTTCTTTTGATCCTGTCCGTGTCGCTCTTTCCACATCATCATCATGTTCTGGCAGGGCATATTGCTGCTGCTCGCGCAGAATGCTGTCGCTTGGCATTCGAACGACGACTTGATGTCCTTCGTTACGGTAAGCGTGGCCAGCGATCCCTCGACGACCAGCGCACTAATCTCGCCTTGTCTTCTTAGCTCCCGGACGCCAGGGCTGTCAAGTTCAACATCAACTACGAACATCGCGATCGCGTTAGTCCGGGATACTGGTTTGTCTCGCCTTATCTACACATCGCGCCCGACGAACCCACCAGTCTCTACGAACAATATCAAACTGGTCCCCACATTTACGACCAGGATGGAGTACGTCTTAATCTTGATGACATCGTTTCGTGATGACATCGTTTCGTGAGAGACAGCTGACCCCGAGTTTTTGGAATAGCGTCTCGTCTGGACTGGAGCCCCCATGTTTGACAACCGCAACGTTTTCGATTTCAAAACCATTACACTCCATAACGAAACTTACATCTCTCTCATCTTGCAATACAGTCACGACGGGCGTGAACGAGGATATGGTATGATCCTGGACCAAAACTATCAAGTCTACCGGAAAATCCCCTTGAGAAAGGATCTTGGAGTCTTCGATATCCACGAGTTCAATGTCCTTGATAATGGCCAATCCGCGGTCGTTACAAACTATCTCTCGGAGGAAATAACCTTGGAAGCCTTTGGTCGCCCAGAGGAAAAGACCTGGTTAGAGTATGGTGGATTCGCGGAGCTTGATATCAACACCGCGGATGTTCTTTACCACTGGAATTCGTTTGCTGAGGTTCCATTGGCGGAAACCGTCCATTACAGCCCAAGCTCCCGTGTAGAAGGAGCTCCTGGCTGGGATTATGTGCATATCAATGCTGTGGACAAGAACGACAATGGTGATTACTTGATCTCCATGCGTTTTACGAACACCATCTACCTCGTTTCGGGACAGACTGGAACTATTGTGTGGCGTCTGGGAGGACAGGGAAATAGTGACTTCGCTCAAGATTTCGTCTTCTCTAAACAACACGACGCCAAATTCGTCGAGTCATCCGGAACCCGTCACGTTATATCATTTTTGAACAATGCGTCCGATGAGGAATTTGCCGAAGAGGAAATCTCGTCGGCATTGATCGTCGAACTGGAAACTGGCACATCCCCAATGACCGCCCGCGTCCTCAATCGCTATAATCGACCCGATAAGGGCCTCACCCGTCTCCGTGGCAACTCACAATTATTGGCCAATAAGAACATGTTTGTGTGCTGGAGTCAAGGCGGCTACATTTCTGAGTTTTCCCCCGAGGGACAAGTCTTGATGAGCGCCAGTTTCACCTCAGATCGCTTCTCGAACTACCGCGCCTACAAATCCGAATTCATCGGTCGCCCGAATACTCCTCCAGACCTCGTGGCTTCTGTTTTCGGTAGTGATGAAACAAACCTCATCACCACTGTGCACGTTAGTTGGAACGGTGCCACCGATGTGGCCTGGTGGAACTTCTACGCCCAGGCATCCGAATTCGATACACCGGTATTCATTGGCAATGTCTCCAAGTACGATTTCGAAACAATGTTCATCGCCAGCGGGTACATGGATTGGATATCCGTCGAGGCTGTGCACCGTGACGGCCACGTCATGGGCACCTCGAAGGTGCACCGGACCCAATTCCCTGATTGGATGGCAGCCGGATATGCAGGTCAGTCCGGACTTCCGAGACCCCAGGATCCATCCAAGCTTTCGTCCGCCCAAGGTGGCACATCGAGCAAGAAGCTCAGTGACCCGAGCCGTTTATCATCCTTAAGTGACACGGCCGATGCTGAGGTCAGGAAGGCAATTCAAATGCTTTCTAATTCATATACGACCGTCCGTAGTATCGGAGGTCTCTTCGCACTCATTTTACTTCTGGCAGTCATGTCTGGCATCATGGCCAGCTATCTGCTCATCCGAGGCTGGCGGGTCCGGCTTTATCAGCGCGTTCCCTTGGAGGAAGGCCTATCTGAAGAGGGAGATCATCTCAAATCTGAAATGGATGAGTAGCTTCCTCGCGGATAATCCGGGTCTTCGGGTTCTATCTTGCATGACCTTAGGAGTTTACTGTATATTACTGGTTTATTCTGGTGGGCAATGTTGCCATTTGTAAATAGCCGGGCGTTTTTGATTCCCGTTTATCTTTTAGCATTTTCCGGTTTCTTTATCTATTCGATATTCTCGAAAAGTTAAAATCAGACTGAGGTCAGTTCATACATTTCTCATCAATACCCACGCCGATAGACCATTCGACATGCCTAAAATTTCTGGTCCTAAAGAAGCATCTTGGATACTCCAAAGTCCGGGGTTCCAGGACTGCCCCGGGTTCACCCCTCGTGAATACCCCTCCAAAGTTTATTAGAATGTATTCTAGACCAGCAGACCTTGATTTTGTTCAAAATGTGCCCACAATTACATGATAAGAACTGATATTCCGTGCAAGGGATTCCCGGCTCGGGAATAATCCAGCATTCCCGAGCTATCATTCCCGACCTTATCTTTTCTTTCCCGAACGTTCTATTTAGTCCACCGTGACTCAAATTTGCCATCCTTGAATTGCGTAATTATTTTTAACATTGTGCTCTGTGGAAACTCCTCAAATTCCCTGCCATTCAACATTGGGAACACTGCATAAGCACACAATGCCTTCAACCAATCTCTGCCAAGACGAGGCATGCCCTCCATACAGTCTTATGGACGACTATAGCGAGGGTGCCCATCCACAGATTTTGGAGGCTCTCCTGCGCACAAATTCCACTCAACAAGTTTCATACGGCGGTGACGAATACAGCAACACTGCCAGGCAATTGATCCGCGAGAGAATCAATTGCACTGAAGATGAAGCGGAAATTTTCTTTGTCCCTAGTGGCACATCGGCGAACTTAATTTCAATTGCCAGCTGTCTGCGGCCTTATGAGGCGGTTATTACCCTTGAAACGGGACATATTGCTTGTAAAGAAGCCGGTGCCATTGAGGCCACTGGACACAAGCTTATTCTTGTCCCACCGGTTGATGGCAAGATGACAACGACCAATCTGCAAAAAGCGATTCAGCAAAATCAGTTCTTCCCGCACATGGCCAAGCCGCGGCTTCTTTATATCTCCAATGCCTCGGAGACTGGAACAGTCTACACAAAACGTGAATTGAGCAATTTGTCCGCTCTGTGCAAGCAATTGAACCTTTTGCTTCTCGTGGATGGAGCTCGAATCGGAACGGCGCTCTGCTCGAAGAAGAACGATATGACACTCCGTGACATCTTTGAGTATTCCGATATCTTCTGGATCGGTGGAACGAAGGCTGGTGCTTTGATGGGCGAAGCCATTGTCGTTAAGAAGGAATTGGCTGAGGGTTTCGTTTTTCACCTCAAGCAACACGGCGCTTTGCTGGCGAAGGGCCGTATCATGGGTGTTCAATTTGTGGAGCTCTTCCGAGATGATCTGTTTTTCACATTGGCTGGACATGCAAATGCAATGGCTGAGAAGATCTCGGCTAATTTTGAGAAGCTAGGGCATGAACTCGCTGCGGAGACTGCAACAAATCAAGTTTTTGTTACTTTGCCCATGAATCTGGTTCGCAGGCTGCAGGATAGATTCCGCTTCTATATTTGGGAACAGCTTGATGATGGACGTGTTATGGTTCGTCTTGTAACCTCTTGGGCTACAGATGAGTTGCAGGTTGATAAATTTAATGCATGGGTGGCGCAGTGGACTGCTGCGTCCAAGGAGTTTGCTACTTAGAATTACTTTACTAGAACATATATAATTACATTAACATTTTCATGACTTACAGGGTCTTGAATTATAATTTGTATAAAAAACAAAACATCTAGGCTCAAGCGACTTCTCTCCTCGTTTTTGTTCGCCAACTTTCAGCCGGAGGGTGGCGTGCTCAAAGTTGAGTGACACTGTCTGCCAAATGGTTGTATACCGGTCTGACTTAGATCCAATAGGCCAGCTTTATGGTTGCTCATATGACATTACTGGCATCTTAAGCTGTATCTTACTATTAAGTCACATACGCGTGTACCTACTGTATCGACATGAGTATATAGTCACATGACTGCGCTAGTAAGGTTAAGGTAATAATGACACCTTAAGTTTCCGGCATCCTGAAACACACCTTCTCTGTTTAACCTGATGGAATGCAACTCTATCATGACCTAACTTGAGTATTCCCTGACCCTCCAGCTCTCAAGTGACTGGTTAACACGGCATTCTCGATGCTATTTACGTGACTGGGCATTCATTGGTCGTCAAGAGCCTAAATGAGGCTGTCAATATCTTGTGATGCATGTCGGTGAGATAATACTGAGCCAACACGAGATTGGAGATTCAATTCAATTACTTACTATCGCCATAGACGGGCAAAAGTCAAGTGCAATCATGAGGGCAATCCGCCCTGCCAACGCTGTCAAAAAATCAAAAGTGGCGATTGCGTCCTGACGGATCCTCGAGCTTCAAAGCCAGGCACAAGCACACGAGGAAGCACTACCAGAACTAGAGCAGGACAAAAGCGACGAGCAACCACTGCACTGTCTGAAGATACAAGAATTGAGCAGAGTCCTCGACCAACACTTTCACGTACAGGGTCAGAGATTCATGAGAACCCTATATCAGCTTTACCATCATCCATGATCATCACCGCGGTGGAAACTTATCGGAAGAAGTTTCCTATCACGAATTTCCTTCATTACCCCTCTTTAATTTATGATGTCTCATCTAACTTTCAATCGATTGATCCGGTTTTCATTGCGTCGCTTCTCTCCTTGTGCGTGCGTTTCATGAGCGGAGATGGGCTCGCGGATGAAGAAACGTACGCTGGCTATGCCCGAAAACATCTCGCCCATCGTGTCATGGAGGCCCCTTCACTTTATCTTGCTCAATCTCTCGTGATGATCTCATTCTATGAATGGGGGACGGGTCGCCCTTATCAAGCATGGATGTACAGCGGTGTGTATCATGCAAGACCACCGATGATTCGTGAAACAAGCTGATTCTCCTAGGCATGGCAACCTACATGATTCAATCACTGCTGAAAATGTCGGATGATAGTATGGAGCATAGTCCACACGAATTCCATGCCTCACAGACCCAGTACGAACAGCTTGTTCGTACCTACTGGTGTTGTTTTGCACAGGACTGTGAGCTGAGCTCTGGTGCTCGGCAGCATTTTGCATTGTCATTTTCTCAAATATCGGTTCCACTTCCTATAAGTGACAGAGATTTCACATTCAATCATCTGCCTGAGAGAAGATTGATGCCTGCAGATATGAACAAGCAATGTTCATTGGCAAGAAACCTGACCATCGAGCATGGTCTGACGATAGTAACACGTGGATTTGACATCTTCGTGCGAATCCTGAGATTTGCGAACGAACATCGTCGCGCTTTGGCATCTTTAGACTCGGATGATTCCACATCGCCTCTTCTTCAGACCTGGCAAACACTCAAGGGAGAGTTGGATGAGTGGAGGACCCTGCAAGATATGACTGTTCGGTATCCTGCTACAAGTGCCCAGGCCCATGTCGCCCTCGGATATGGAGAGCTCTTTGCATATATTAACTTGATCTATTTCATGAGGTATGGTTGTTGTTCCAATTGTATGGAAATATTTGTTGAACTGACTAGAATAGTGTATTATTCCTTCATCGTGATCGCTTCCTCTCAAACCTCAAACCTCATTCCGACGTTTTCCATGACATGAACGATGATGAGCAACAAGAACCTGGCACGATCAAAGAGCTTTTCGCAGCCGTGCAGAATATCAGCGGGGTTTTATCAGCTTTAGAGGCATCTGAAGCACCTGTGATGACTCCCTATTCGGGATTCAGTGTCTTTGTAGCGGCACACATCAACATGTACGGAACAATTGCACCAATGCGATACCCTGGTGGTCTCGAGCGAGCCGAAAAAGAAAAGAGCAAAAACCTCATTTATCTTGAGCGGCTGAGCCGACTGTGGCCTGTTGGCCGAAGCTGGGTAAGTATCAAATTTAAATCCATGAAAATTCAACTGACGATCCATTTCTAGTGGCGCACTGTGCAGGAAGCCAATCGATTTTACGAAACGGTTAAGAGTACTCAAACACATACGGAAGCTGGTATGCAGAGCCCCCGACGATTTGCACTGGCGGGCACCTTGGATGAATATGGTGATATTCGCTCCCGTCCAAATCGCGAGACGCACATGACTAGGTCTATAACTGCGGAGCCTGGAGAAGCCGACAGTTCGCGTCAGTCCCAGGGCGAAATTTTATCCTCGCCAGTCCCAGAAAGTGAAGCTACATTTCTTTCTCGGGATCATCCTGGGCTTGCCCATGATGTTGAAACGGATATGTTTCAGTGGCCCTTCATTGACGCATCATGGTCTGCTGGGTTTGACGCTGGGCTAGACGGGCTGTGGCACCACTCTGGGTTATTCGATCCGAACCCATCCTTAAGATAGTTTCCCTTCACACATGGACGAAAGTAATGACAAGAGGAAATATTCTATTATGAAAATGTTCTATGTATAGACTGCAGTTAATGCAAAGGAGGGTATTTATATAATACATTCATCAACGTTATTGACCAGCACTATCGGCTGCCACTATCAGCACTGGCACTCTCGACAGTCTGCTCCACGGCGACGGTCTTTCGAATTCCATCGAAAACACCGGACTCATTCGCCTCCAGACCGCCAGCATAAGTAATCAGATGGCTCTGGTCGCCAAAGTTGGGTGCCTTCTCCCACGTGGGCTTCGAATTGGTCCCGTTCGTCCGGTCAGCCAGCTGGAGCTCGGAGCTCTGGTTGTAGTACTTTTGAGACGAGTAGTTCTTCCGGTAATACACAATGAGGACATTGAGAACGGGAAGACAAGCGCAAATCAACCCGACACCACCCTCGGCATTACTAGCAAGAAGTTAGCACCCGAACAAACCCATGATGAATAACGTAGACATACCCCGACAGAATAACGTCCATGAAGACAATAGTTTGATTGTCAGAGCTGCCATCCTTCAACACCAGCACCAATCGGTACAGACTGAACGCGGTGGCCAAACCGCCGGCACTAAGGATACCGATGACACGGAGCTTTCGGTTTCGGGACATTTGCAAGGACCAAGTCAACGGCAACGGGAGAATGAGAATGATGATATCGCTGACAACACTAATTACCGAGTCGGCAATCAGAGCGGCAGTCTGGTCGAGACAAGTACCTTCCACCTTCTCTCCGAGCCAGTATCTCGGAATTGGACCGCACATGCGGATCTTGACGATTAAGGCGACGGTATAGTATGTGCAAAGACAGGCGAGGAAACCATAGATGAACCACACCTTGCCACGGTAGGGCTTGAAGATGCGCGTGAGGATAGACAGGAGAGCGATTTTGACGAAAAGGGCCATTGGGCAATAAAGGATAGTGGCGATGTAGCAGAACTTTTTGAACTGGACTTTGTTGGCCGCTGAGACATCGTCGATGTTATAGCCGCCGCCATATTTGCCGACTGGGATAAATTAGTATGATCTCGTCTGTTGTGATGATTCATACATACCGACGATACTGATTCCGCAGTAACCCATGAATAGGGCCTGATCGGGTTAGTATAATTTGCGATCGGGATCGAAGCAAGGCACATACCCAAGCCACAGTGCACGCATCTGAAGAAAGAAACCCCCAATTAGTTCAAAGCTCCGTGGTAGATTAGGGATCCAAAACATACAATCTTCCACTCCTATACTCTGCTTGAATCGAATTCGAGTATACCATCGTAACGCCACAAAAGCGGATGTTATCGGCATACACAGAACCTGCGTGACGAGGTTGACGGTGTGAACGACATCTGTAGGATTTGCGATCGTCATGGTGAAGTGATATGGAACCTGGAAATCTGCCAAACACCTGGGGATTGACAGATTAAAGAACAATGGGGTTGATGGGGCATGGGGTCCAGCTTTGACAGGGGATTTGCCATCCGTGTATTACCATGGTTCAGCGCGTATTCCGAGAGACATGGACGGGAAGGATCGGTTAGGGTGGAGATCTTAACGCTATTGATCCCTACGCATCACTAGTTGTCCTGGAAATCGAGACCTGTGATGTTCATAGTCGGTCTCCAGATACATCCATTGGAACCAATCACAGGTGTTGGTTCTAAAAATCGGATTTTATTACGTGGCCGGGCGTTGTCGGGGATGGTTCGTCGTGTATTCCGAAGGTAACAGCGGCTCCACTATGCCCTAAATCTGCAAAGTGCAGTGGAGTTCCAAGCCCGTGATCAGGCCTCTGTGAACCAGAAGGCCCACGTTGAAGTGTCATTAATTGGTAAGACGGGAGGGAATTGTGCACTTTGAAACTCAAACCCTCAGTTTAACCGAATTGACACTTTTGACAGGGGCAGTCTGCTGTTCCCTTTTGGGATAAGGCGATTTCTCTAATTGACTAACTTTTAGTAACAAAAATCCATTGATTTCTTCATTTTCTTTCTCTATCTCTCTCTCTCCAGGGCCTAATTTGTATTTCCAAAAAAAAAATAGATCCGCAGCTATGACGATTCACTATCTTGGCGAGAAATCTGCCTTATTCCAGCCGTTGGCTATCGCCAATGGTGGCATCACCCTTAGCCACCGCATTGTTCATGCGCCTCTGACCCGTAACCGTGGAGTTCCGGAGAAGTCTATTAGCACTCCCGACGCGCCAAATCGAGTTTGGATCCCGGGGGATCTGGTGGTTGAATATTATGCACAGCGCGCCACCGATGGAGGCTTGATGATTTCCGAGGGAATTCCGCCTTCGCTGGAGGTAAGATGAAACAGTTCCCACTGCAGAAACCTAATTTTGATTTTCACTTTTGACTTTTTCGTCGGTAATTCCGTGTGTCATGTGCGTCTAACCTAATCTCATATTCACAGAGCAATGGCATGCCCGGTGTTCCGGGACTGTTCACCCCCGAGCAGATGGCCGGATGGAAAAGGGTCGTCGACGCGGTCCATGCAAAGGGTGGAATCATTTATTGCCAGCTGTGGCATGCTGGTCGAGCCACTATTCCCCAGATGACTGGGTCCCCGTCTGTGTGTCCGTCGGCAAGCGTGTGGGACTCGCCCACAGAATGCTATTCTCATCCCCCTGTCGGCTCCACTGAGTACTTTTCCGTTCCATACGCGGACCACCCACCTATTGAATTGTCCGTGGCGCATATCAAACAGACCATCCAGGACTATTGCAAGGCTGCCAAGGCTGCCATGGAAATAGGGTTTGATGGCGTGGAAATCCATGGTGGCAATGGTTATCTTCCCGAGCAATTCCTGAGCTCCAATATCAACAAGCGCACTGACGCCTATGGTGGATCTCCAGAGAAACGATGCTTGTTCGTTTTCGAGTTAATGGACGAAGTGGCAAAGACTATTGGAGAACACAACTTGGCGATTCGACTTTCCCCTTTTGGTCTGTTCAATCAAGCTCGTGGAGAGCAGCGTGTGGAGACCTGGACTCATCTATGTGAGGGTTTGAAGAAGGATCACCCAACTCTATCCTACGTTAGTTTTATTGAACCGGTATGTTCTGGCCTGTTAGAGTTTTCACTTTTGATAATTTTTTTATTTTTTTTTTGGATATTTTCTCGTTACTATTGGATCATCTACTGACCCTTCCAGCGCTATGAACAAATCTTTAGCGTGGGCGAGAAGGATGATTTCCTAAAGAGCTGGGGCTTGCAGGATGTCACCCTTGATCGCTTCCGGAAGATCTTCGGCAAGACTCCTTTTTTCTCTGCTGGAGGGTTTGATGACACCAACTCCTGGGGCGTGGTGGAATCTGGAAAGTATGATGCCCTCCTTTACGGTCGTTACTTTATCAGTAACCCAGATCTGGTGGACCGGCTGAGGAAGGGCCTTCCCCTGGCTCCGTACGACCGGACCCGGTTCTACGGGCCCTTCGAAGATAACGCTTTCCACTACACGGATTATCCGACTGCTGATCAACAGGCTAAGATGTGAAAGTGAAACTATTACTAGATTATGATACACGAGGCTCGAGCCTCATTGGACGTTAAATGCGAATCATTCGGTCCTCGTTCCATGGCTCCGCTAGCGTGAAGAATAGAAAAAAAGTAAAAAGTAAAAAGTAAAAATTAAAAATTAAAAATGAACATGGAAATAAACAAGAAAGAGCCACCAAGACGAGGCTGAGAAATAGGCGAAAAAGATCTGTCATTCTACTCCAGCCCTGGGAAATTAGGTGGATCTCCCCGTTCCGATTGGATACCGATCACCAGGCCGCGCATCACAAACTTTCCCTTCTTGGGTAAAGGTCGCATGGCTCGCTTATGTCGAATGTGATCGCCTAGTGGCGTTAGTTGAACTCTATTGAAATTGCGAGGAAAATCTACGATCGCAAAAAGGAGACGAAAAGAAGCAAAAACAGACAAAGCAAACAGATGGAACAAGGAACAAAGAACAAAAAAACAAATAACATAGAAAAAAGCTTCTTTCATCCCCAAACATCCTCTTGCCACTTGTTCTTCTTCTTGACTGCCTTGCTCCAATTATTAACTTCCTCTTCAGACCACCTCTTAGTCTTTTGCATGGTGACGCCAACCGCCTTCTCCACTTCGCGTGCCATACCAGCTCTACCGCAAACGTAGAAGCTGGCACCCTCATCAATAAGCTTTACAACTTCCTCCCCAAACTCAGAAACCCTGTCCTGTACGTATTGCCGTGGCGTACCTTCAAGTCTAGAGAAAGCAGCCACCAAACGCAATTTGTCTCCGAGTATTTCCTGCATCTCCTGAAGCTCATCTCGGTAAATGAAATCTTCGTCGGGATTACGACACCCAAAGAAGAGAATCATTTGGCCAATCTCCTTCCCGATCTTCTGTACCTGGCAACGTTCTGAGAGGAATGCTCGGAATGGGGCAAGGCCCGTTCCGGCACCGACCATCACCAATGGTGTCTTGGCCGTTATAGGGAGCTTGAACTTGCTTCGACGGATGTGAGCGAAGACCTTACCACCTTGGAGGACGTCGCTGGGTCCGTTGAGGTGATATGAGATGCCATGTGGGTGGGGCTGGGAGTGGGCTTGCTGGGAGATGGCGAGGAGGTAGTTCGACGTGATACCGTGTACCAGCTCGCTTGTATTTTCTGGAAGGGGAGTTGTGGAGACAATGGCTGTGATGGAAGGTTTCCGAGGAGAGACTACACTGCTGGAGGAAATAGAGTAGTACCGTGGACGGATGTGCGGTAGCGTCTCGACGAGATACGAGAGAGGGATCTTGGTCCACGTCTGGCCCGGACAGGCAAGTTGTAGTAGACGACCGAGGTTGAGGTGGGTTCGGTTGATGAACTCTGCGTAGTAATCTTTATCCTGGCCCAACTGGATCAGGTATGTCTTTGCCTCGGGTGTAGGTGCGAATTGGGCGAGATCGCGGACATTGTCTCGGTTGACAGGAGCACAAATCTCCAAGTAGTAGCGGAGAATGGCGATGGCACTCGTCGGGGTCGGGAGTGTGATCTTTGTTGCTGGATCGACTGGCGTGATGATGACTGGAATATCGCAGCGAGAGGTAAGACCGAGGATCTCGAATAGACGCTCTACTTCTGAGTCTGGATTGGCGGGCCAGATGGCCAGATGGTCACCGGTCTTGTATGTCAAATCTGGCTGATTACTCAGATCCACATCCATATGAAGACAGTTGCGGTCGGACGATGTGAAGAGCTCTCGAGAGTTGACGATGCTCAAGCTTCGAATAGGTGAGGATTGAGTGGCTCCCTTGGGAGTATCGACCTGGCTGCTTGGTTCCCCGTGATGAAGGTCTATAGGCTCCAATGACTCATCTTCTTCGACCTTCAGGCTTGGAACGTATGTGGCTTCCACTTCTTTGAAGCCCAATTTGTCTCTGAACACTGTAAACAGGCTATCTTTCCAAGCCATAAAGTCTTCCTCAGTGGCACCTTCGGCATCATTGGCTTTGCCAAGTGGCATCAGGGCTTTTGCACCAAACTTCTCCAGCCCTTCAACGATGACATCTATAACCTTGTTGTAGAATTTGTAGTTGGAATTGCCCAAGCCGAAGGCAGTATATTGAAGATTGGCTAGCGAGACATCACCAGCCTTGGTGATCCAGCTCCAGAACTCTGCAGTGTTATCAGCTGGATCGCCCTCGCCGTACGTCGAGACGATAAAGATCGCGAGCTTTGTGTTCGGGATTTCGGAGATTGTGACTGGGTCGTAGTCTGACAGGTCCGCCGACATACATTCCTGGCCCCATCGAACGGCAATTTCTCGGGCCAGACGGTTGGCAAAGCCCTCGGCGGTACCGGATTGTGATCCCCAGAAGACGACAATATTCTTGCCAGTCTCTTCTAGCTTTTGCGCAATATTTCTTGTCTCTTTGTTAGAACCTACACCAGCCTGGCCACCATTCTTCAACTGTGGACGTTCAAAGTAGAGATGATAATGCGGGTCAGGTTTGTCCCAAAAGGTTCCTCGTGACATATACCCTGCTGAGACACCGGCAATGATGGCTAAAGCAGCATAGTCAGCGATACCGGTCGGTGTCACATATTTTTGAAGCTCGGCCAGAGTCTCTGGCGAGAGGTTCATCTGTGCGAGTTCCGCGAAGGATACCATGGCCGATGTTATAGGGGACTTAGGTCATGAATAAATGGAGGAATCGAATTTTGAAAAAGCGAACGAGAGACATTAATATAGTCCGTCTTCGCAACAATTCTTTGAAACATCACGGGCTATCTGATACCCCGCATATAAAAATGGCATTTCCATGGAATATGGATTGGGGAAGTAAATCGCGGGGGTCAATTAGACTTTGATCTCCACGGGGAAAGATTCCCATTCTGGAAGTCCAACTGGAACGGTTACCGGGGATCTGAGCCACATAAGCTCCGACGGCAAACCTTCTGCTTGAGCAATCAATTTCCCAAATAGACTCAACAGGAAATAGTTCTGATGTAATTCCACCTCCGCTGTCATAAGGTTCCCATTGGGACAAGTGCCTATCTTGCATTGGACCGCATTCATGTAGCATATAGGTTGCAAAATAGGCTTTCATATCCAAAGTCATGGCATTTTCGCCGATAGAGATCCAAATGGGCTCAGGGAGAAACACGAAAACCGGGGTAACTACCCCGATGAGTTTCCCCACATGGGCCTACACGATTTGGGATTATCACATGTAAGCATGAGACCAAGGATTTTCTGAGGCCTAGAGCCTTTGGTGATATCCTAAATTTCCATCTACGTTTGGCTCTCAACTTTCATAAGATTGGCAGACCTCGGACCTCTCCTATGATAGAAAATTCTGGTCGCCAGGACTAACGGCCCTACCACGAATTTAATGTTGGTGTTTCATTGATTTGCAGGATGTTCATACAAATCAAACGGATAATTCGAGCCATTGATTTGTTCTAGGAAGGCACGATATCTCCAAATACGGAAGGCGCGACTATCGAGTAGAATTCCTTTCCTCATTCTCTCTATTCTCTATCCTTACAAGCCACATTATCTTATGTTCATCATATCCAGTAAAATAAAACAGAGAATAGAGATATGCAGATTAGCCAACTGCCCAGGTATGGGTAGGTTCACCATAAACACGAAAACATGAAAAGCACACTCTAAATTGAACCGCGGGGGTCGTAAATATATCATAAAACTATCTTCAGACATTCAAAGATGGCGACAAGGAAAAATCCATCAAACCTCTCACTCAATCTTCTCCATGTTGCGCCGCCAAATCTTTACGGGCATATCCTTCAAAATCAAATTCATAGTCTCCTCCCGCTTCAACTCCCATCCAGGGTAGGCCAAAGCAAACTCATACCGATGTACCATAGAAGCGACTGCTTTTATTTGTTCCAAGTAAGAAATATTGCGACCAATGCAGGAACGAGCCCCGGCAGAGAAAGCAATCAAGTACCGCTGAAGGGATTTGCCTTCCTCCCCAAGCCATCGCTCAGGAATATACTGGTCCGCATTGGGGAAAACACCCTCATCGCGATGAGCGACATAGGCCGACATGCTAACGGAAGTGTTACCAGCAACCCATTCGCCAAGGATATTCGTGCCCGATGGAGGTGTCTCTCGGGGGAGGCCATGGGAGGTCGGAGGAAAGATTCTCAGCGACTCATCCAGGCAGGCGCGTAGGTATGGAAGATGTTTGACTTTATCGTAGTCCGCAACATATTCGTCCTCGTCAAGAACATTGTCCAGTTCTTCCCGGAGCTTGGCTAGCGTGCGAGGGTTTCGAAGTAGCTGGTACATGACATTTGTAATGGCAACAGCAGTCGTCACGCTGCCTGCGTTCATCATGATATTGCATTCGGCAACCACCTCGCCCCATTCGAGGTTGTTTGGGTTCCCGTTCTTATCTTCCATGAGGGCTTGGAAGAAATCATCGAGCTTTTCGCCTGCTTCGTAACGGCGTAGTCTTTCGTTTCCGCGGCGCCACATGATATTTTCCCAGTTGTCGCCTGCTGTTTGCATTTCGTTGAAATAGGGGATCACGTTGACGATCTTGTTGAGAGTGGGGTACCAGTCGTAGTTCCATAGAATGTAGGACTGTTTGCGAGCCGTTGGGTAGAGTGCATCCCGTAGACTTGTCGTGTATGTTGATCCATCTTTCCTCTCAGCAATACACATATCATTGCCTTGGTCTAGGAAGCCCAGTTTCTCGGACAGTCCAATATCGGCAATGGCATCAAGGGTAAAGAAGTTGTTCCACGCACGTAGGTCCAGAGTGAGGTCGTTTTGATCTGGGGCCACTCGGCCAGAGGCGACATCTTCCTTGGGAGCCATTGTGCAGACTTGATCAAAGTGTTTGAACATTCTTTGGATTTTGTCGGTGACTTTATATTCCCAACTCTCCAAATTCTTCAGTGCGTATGCCGAGGAGAGCACCTTGCGCTTTCTTGCATGGTCTGGCTTGTCCACGACATCGGCAAGATTGAAGTGAGAACCGGAGGTGATCAGGTAAGAGCTGTCCTTGGTACATTTGGTATTGTGCCCGTAGATGTCTTTGATCGCACGAACATCTCCGTAGGATAGCATGTTAGGCCCTGTTCGGATCACAGGATGCTTTTTATGCAATTCGGCCAGCTCCTTGGACCTGAATCCTCGCGAAGCCATCATCATGAAAGGAATTGCAGAGAATCCGGAGATTGGATGGAGGTTGGGATACTTGCGCAGTCCTGCAATATTGTGAGTGATTTGATCAATGTACCTCATTCTTTCCCTGAAGGAGCTTACCCTTGGGGTCGCGAAGATATTGCACATATGGATAGCCGAAAAAGAATATAAAGACAAAGGCAAGAAGCCCGATCGCGTAGGGCGCGACTGCGAGGACCGACAACATCTCGTCGAAGTAAAGGCAGTGGATTGCCAGAGAAAGGGTAAACAATTAAAATGACATATGATAGGAATAGAACAATACTTCTGAAAACTGGACGGGAGGGGTGATATAAATATCACTCCAGAGGTTGGCCCAAAGTATATCCTATATCTTACCCCATCCCAAAACCACCTGGGAATGGAAGGGCATGACTTCCGAGATATCCAACCTTCGTGGGGTATTGCGCCCAGAACAGCACATTCAACCAGTTCTCCGTGGTCTGGGTATGAGAGTAAGCACCCAATGGTCGATCATGTCTCATCTGTCATGGATATGTGGGGCCCAGCAGGAGCGGGGAATATTACCCTTCCAGAATAAGGAAACTGTCGGAGAACAAGATGCGGGGTAACAAATCGAGTAAAGAAGCCCGTTCACTTATTGCTGCTCTAAATCAACGTCTCTGTACATGAATTGGTCTTGGCCTTCCTACTCGCAAATCAGTGACCGGTTCTTGTCCCGGGCCAGCCACTCCTGGAATTTGAACAAGGCTTGATATCGATGAGACAGCTTGTTCTACATTACGTCAGTGCGCGTTTACCAAATATCACCAAGAATTCATACTTTTTTATCATGCGCCATTTCCGCGAGAGTTTCCCCTTTGTGTTCAAAGATGGGCTCCCATCCTGGAATGCGTTGTCAGCTCTCCAATTGGGAAGTTTTTTGACAAACAAAACCTACCAAAAACAGGTGGACCTCTAGCGGGAACGATTCTCCCCTGGGCAGCATTTAGTTCGTTGTCACAGCATCTCTGGCTCTATCTCGACGAACCTCGAGTCTTCCTTGGAAAATCAAGGGCTCTGTGCCGGAGCCAGCTGAAAAGGCAAACGTGCAGACAGCGTCCGCGTTCTTGTCTTCATGAGAATGCAGAAGTTTATTTAAACCATCATTTCCTAGGGACTCTAAAAAGTATTTACTTTTCAATGTCAATGAGCCAAAACTGTTCCCATTGTTGAGTATCACATACATATAAGGCCCTGGAAGGCGATTCATGGCATGAAACTCCAAAGCCGAATCTTCCACGATGACTGGTCCATTTATCTGGTATATCTGTTAGTACAATTGGCCAACGAACAGTGTTCATTATTGGGACCAAACAATCTTAGCGGCTCGCCGACACTTATCGCTCGCGATCTCTTCTAATGACCCCTGGATCTCGGGGAGATCCAATGCCACGGGCTCAACGGGTATCAGTCCACCTAGAATTGCATTGACCTCAAGGACCTTGTTAGGGTTTCCAGTTACGAATTTGAGAGACTTCATGTTGACCGCTTACAAGGTCAGGGATTAAGGGACAGCGACCAAACTGTGTGACTAGTCTCCATAGAAATTATACCGCTTTATATACCGCCTAAATATGACCATAACAAATCAAGATACGATCACGTGATGTTTCACGGCAAGCCTAAGAAAGGTTCGAAAGTAGGTGGTGTTACCTATGTGAAGATAGCTGGAGTGTAGAAATTGAGTGATTTTGAAACAGAGTGACCCCAGAAAATAAAATACCTGAGCCAGATTGGAACCCTAAGCCTTAACGTGACGGGGGTGCTGAAAGTACATTTATGACTTTTGAAAAGCTTCAAGAACGGATGCTAGCTCCACCCGTGGAGGCAAGGTAATCATACTGTGTCACAATATCCCTGCTGTTTTTGAAACTCAACTTATCCCCCAGTTGTATACATGCTCATTATTCTATGCTTAATTTTAAGTTGCGAGAATTATCTATCAATTAGTGACACCTCAGAAACAGAGGATGCCGGTCTAGTAAAACTCTGAAGATCCAACTAGTCTTATCAGCTGTCAAGGGACACAATGCAACATGATTTCGAATCCTTACCCCGGATCTTCTCAGCCGATCTCATGGACCGATTGGTGGCGCCCAAGGTTGCGGGTGGACAATAAAAAAGCTAGCCGGCTATTTATCGGCTAGTTCATATTCGCTTGTGGATATCGGCATATCTTCAAAGCGCCGGTGTGCCCGACACCGTATTATTAATGCCGCACAACAGACTATCTTCCATCAAGTTCTACTGCCTGGGACGCTTTTAATATGATACACTAACCTGACATCTTACTATATTCAACTGTGCCCTGAAAAGACCAGTCTGTTTTGACCTAGCAGGTTCGTTCTGAATGACTTGACGTCATGCCCAGCTATATACCGGCCTAGGTTATGAGCAGAACTAACTAGGCCTCGTTTCCTTTCACAGATCTTTACCTAGCTAATTCTGAAATATTTTACAATTTTGTCAATATGTCCGCCGAGATGGAATACGTTCGGTATGAGCCCCTCACCCAGTGTCGCACGATGACTTAATAATTATGAGCGACCAAAAGCTAAGATTCATGGTATATAGCCTCGGAAAATCGGGCCTTAAGGTCTCCAAGATTATCTTAGGTACCATGGGCTTTGGGAGCAAGGAGTGGCAGGATTGGGTTCTCGATGAAGAGGACTCCCTGCCTCTGATCGAGCACGCGTATAAGCGGGGTATCAACACTTGGGATACGGTGAGCATACCATTCATGATTCAGGATCCAACTTTCGAATCTTATACCAACAATTGTAACAGGCCGACGTCTACTCTCACGGCCGCTCCGAGGAGGTTGTAGGCAAGGCATTGAAGAAGTACAACATCCCCCGTAACCGGGTGGTGATCATGACCAAGTGCTTCTTCGGCGTCGACGACGAGGGTGCCCAACCTCCTATCTCCGCTTGTGCTCGCAATGATGGTGCCTGGGTCAACCGTACCGGTCTGTCACGCAAGCACATTCTCGACGCAGTCGACGCTAGCGTCGAGCGCCTGGGTACGTATATCGATGTGCTCCAGATCCACCGTCTGGATAGGGAGACTCCCCGTGAAGAAATCATGAAGGCACTCAACGACGTTGTTGAGAGTGGGAAGGTCCGCTACCTCGGAGCCAGCTCGGTATGTTTTGTCCCAATCACCGTAAGCTACATTTTCTAACGGCTTTAAGATGGCTGCTTGGGAGTTCCAGGCTCTGCAGAATGTCGCTGAGCGTAACGGCTGGCACAAGTTCATCTCGATGCAGAACTACCACAACCTGCTTGACCGCGAAGAAGAGCGCGAAATGATCCCCTACTGTCTTGACAGTGGTGTCTCGCTTATTCCTTGGTCCCCGATGGCACGAGGTGTGCTGACCCGGCCGTGGGACTCGCGTGGGAGCGTGCGTGAGAACACTGATGCTACTCTTAAGGGCGTGGTGCGTGGTCGTGAGAACGAGGCTGATAAAATCATTGTTGGTCGCGTTGAGGAGCTGGCTGGCAAAAAGGGCGTGAGCATGGCGCAGATTGCTCTAGCATGGTCGCTGAGCCAGCCTTCTGAGCAGCCTATAGTTGGATTGAGCAGCATCAAGCGTATTGATGAAGCCGTGGCTAGTCTGCAGGTGAAGTTGACTCCTGAGGATATCAAATATCTGGAGGAGCCGTATGTGCCTAAGGCTCATAATCCCATGTAAAGAGCAAAGCAAAGGGAGGGAGCCTATTGGATGTTGGTTTGAAATGCAACCTTTTTCAGCAGGTCTATGTTTACAATACCACTCTCAGTGCATATTGTAAGATTGCCAAGAGTGATACGTCCTTTTCAGCCCGTGCCATCTCCGAATTAGCTTCTTGTAGAGATAGACTTAAGCGAAAACATTTTGTTTTGTAATTTCTAACTATTCCACACAAAGCAAACCCCTGAAAACCCTGACTATTGGCGATTATGCCTACTATTGTTTGCTTCCCTAGATAATAGTGCACTATAATGACATGTTTGTCTTCTATATGCAAAACAAATTCTAGAACTCGAGCCTATACCATTCCCTTTAGCATCACTCAAAAATAAAAAGAGCACTCAGGATCTTGTATACCTATATTTTCGGACAAAAACAACCTTGGAAAGCCAATCGAGAGTTCGGGTATCTAGGGACTATGAGATCACACTGCTTATGCATAAACTGAAGCAGACCCCTATGTACTTGGCAAATGTTTTATAAGACTTTGGAATTTGAAATGAATTACAGTGGTGAAGGATGAAATGATCTCGTATGTATTGTGGGTACACGTAGGATATAAATAGAGATTTCTTTGACATAGGCTATGGGTATTGTTACAAAATTGACAGGTAGCGATGCACAAAAGACCATAGTGCCACAGAATCCAACTTGGATCACATGTGTGTATAGAATCGCACGTGGTACCCAGTTGCCTTGGAAGAAGGATGCCAAAAAAGGACCGAGAATGACATGAAAGAGAGGGGAATGATAAAGATATCGGGAGAGTGAAGAAGACGCAGATGTTTTGTACTAGACAGGGCTGCGCTGTGATGCCGAAAAACAGATATAACGCCGAATCAAATGCAATGTGATCCAAAAAGATGCTGGTAGGAAATACAACAGGTCGCTGACAAGATGCTGGGGTATACATATGCTGAAAGGCAGGAACCTCAATGGATCCTTTCCTTTCGGTGGAAAATCGTGAAAAGGGAACTGAATCGGTGTCGGCGTTTGCTTTTGCCCTCGCCTGGAGGAGCAAGTTCGGGCTCTTTGGTATAGTCTGAATCCCAGACCTGGCGATGATCCAGGTATGAGGGTAGCGCTTGTCCGGATCTTGTGGGGCGAGGATTCTCTTTGGCTGGCTTTGCCTTGGATTGACTTTTGAGCTGGGCAGTACGCGAGGAATTTTCAGCTTCGGCTGAATTGAGTCTGATGGACGGGGGCCGAGATACAACAATCTCGCCATTTTCTCCAGTGCCTGTGAATGCACTGTGGCGATTGAGACGATTCCCAGCGGAGGCGCTTCGTCGCTTTGCTCGGTCCATGAATGCAGCACCGGTTGAATTGGAGCGCCTGGAGAGACTTCCAAACATAGCACCATCGATAGGTGATAAGGTGTTCGAGCGATGAACACTCGCGGCGGATGCGCAGCGCTTGTTGCCATTGGCTACATCCTTCGGATCATTTATTTCATCGCGACGTACCGGGCTGTTGTTTTCACTCTTGGCGATTGGTGGTGTACAAAACTTAGAGGAGGCTGGAGAGGCGACGTTTTTGCCAATGGGAGATGACAGTGGATCGCCGTAATTAAAATTGGTCGACCAACCCTCACGGAAAGCGACCCAAATTCCAGTGATGATGATTAACGTGCGGAGTCCATCCTCAACCGTGACAACATTTGCATCCGTATTCAGGTCTAATGCATCATTATCAGATAAGTCACTAATCACAGACATGCCCGAGCTCGGAGTGGTGGGCCCGGTATTCGATCGAGTCACGGTGGAGTATTCATCGAACACTTCTAACTGGTTGCGCGTCATAGACGCGATCACCGGATGCCGACGAGTGTTGGGGTCGATGACACTAAATGTGAATCGCTTATTATCTTCGCGCGGCTCAGAGCTGGGCTGTGCAGACATCCGTCGACTCCTGCCTGCTCGCAAAGCCCAGCGCATCACTTGCAGTCCATTTTCCGTACGCGCGACAAATTCGTAAGAACCGCTCGGAAGGGGTGTAGCCTCCCATGTCGGACCAAAGTTCAGGCAAATCTCCGCCTTCCCCCTCTGAAGTGCATTGTCCTGGAGCATCTGGCAGATTGTAGCCACCACTTCGCGGTGATCGTCGTCGTCGTCCTCGGAGCTCGGCGGTCTTTCCGGAATACTGGCGACCGTGCGCTCATATAGTTCACTCATCACGATAATCAAGTCATTCGGACCGAGACCATTCTTACCACGGAACATCGCTGGGAATTTCCGAGCCAACCGTGGTAGATATAATGTTGACGGAAGGACATCCAAGATGGGCAGGGGACGAGGTGTGTGCGACACCTGTTGCAGCTGTAGAAGAAGCTTCGGACGGAGCTTCAGTCGCTTGTGACGAGCATGTGAGGCAGGGTGGGCGAGCTGATACGAGGTCTTAGACCGGGTGGACTTGCGCGTTGCGTTCGTGTTCGAGCGGCTGACACGAGGTCTGCCGGGGGCCGACGTGGTGGCCTTAGACGACTCGCCCTCGCTCGGCTTGGATCCAATGGGGCTCATGGCCACGCCGGATATAGAGCCCACAGGTTGTGCAGGACCATCAGTCGGTTTAGTTCTGTTATATAGAGAGCCCAAAATTGGCAAGGTGGCCAAGGAGAAGGCTGGGGAGTATGATGGTGAAGAAGGCGCGGGTGGCGTTTCTGGCTGGGCGCTAGGATCGGGATTGTGAGCAGCTGCGGCATCCGCTGTGAGACCAAGATTCAGCAGCATTCTTGGACTTCAGCGGAGCCACACTGAACCTGGTTAAAACCAGAGCTGCGGTGAGCTAGTTGTTTATATGACGGAGCAACCACTGACGCATTCAGGAGTAGTCCACGCGTCAATTGCGGGGGGATAAAAACTAGCCGGGGGCCAGTCAGGTGGAGATAGGCTGGACGCGAAAGACAAAGAGAACAGATAAATCGAAAAGAATGTGTGGAAAGATGAATCTACATGAAGATGACCAAGGAAACTGCAAGGGGGGGAGGGGGGAATGTTTCTTTTTCTTAAGGAAATAACCATGTAAAATCTTGCGACCATGGCGGTCAGCCTTATACACATAAAAGTGGAGACAGAGAAGTTTGTTGCGCAGAGAACGGATCGGTCAACTGCGGCCTCCGATGCCTCCGTTGACATCCGGAGCTCGGATCAGCTATGAAGCTGCGGCTCCGAAGTGGCATTCCGTCATCAATGGAAAACTAGGGTTTGGGGTTTGCTTGGCATATCTTTTGAGCTTAGTGCTTCAAAAAACCAAGCTAATGAACATGCTTGTTAGGCAACGTATCCATTTGCGAAATGGTCGGAGGGGCCATAGATGCTATACGTAGGTGGGGGAGGTAAATTTTATAAAATTCTAGTAAGCGGAGTCTTCCACGTGTAATGTAGTTTATTTCAGATATCATTTGCTCACAGTGAGTTACAAAGCGTAATTATGCCGAGCTTCTTCCAGAACCGGAGTTCAGCTTGAAATTGGGCTTCGGCGCCGAATTCCTGTCCGCTGGCAGCCGGACAGAATGATGCACCGCACGCCCCACCATTATTCATCGAACTTTATTTGTTCATCTCATAATCCAAGGACGAACTTGCAGGGATGCTGACAAGATCTGGGTTCCGATCATAAGCAGGAGCTACAGTAGCGTCATCGGTACCTACAGAATAATCTCGGAAGTCTGCGTGTACCTGTACACATAACCTAAGTCTACAATACTGCTCAGCTGCATAGGGCTGGTGTGGATTTGATCCAAACTCTGACCCGCGCGTGATCAAGTTGCCAAGAAAGTGATGTACAGTGTACACTGAAATCCGTACCCCGTACGATTCTTCATAAATTGAATTTGTCACCATAAGACTTCACAATAGCTTATACAATTGTGATCCTACTTTGTACAAGGTATCATTCTTAGGTGTCCGACGACAAACTATCAAGAAACTCATCAATACTGAACCTTCTGTCCATTGAGGGTTGGTCCCGCTCGGCCTTTGGTAGTTAAAATCCTAAACCCGCTGACTAACTTATGCATGCCTATGCACAGTCATGCAATCCTGGACCCGTGTCCACAAATCGACAGTGCCTCGGTTGACTCGGTGATCACTGATCAGATCCACAAGCAATTTTTTCTTGATTAGTGGCCCGCTGAAGACCCTAGCTATCGGCATTGGTGGGCTTCTCTACGCCACTGTGTCTAGACCGCAATGGCAACTGGAACTGCGACCATGCTCCGGTTGGACAATCCCATTCAGAGCTTAACGAGCGCATTTTGGCTGTGGAAAGCTCTCTTGTTTATCGTCATTACCGCCTGTCCGGGCCCAGGCTATGATACCTCCACTACATTGGTTCCCTATGAAGGTGCTGATCTCACCACTTCGCTTCCGTGGCCATTGAGACTGGTACGGTGGGACTCCATCTATTTTCTCCATATCGCAGAGCAGGGATATGTCTTTGAACAAGAATGGGCCTTTGGGTACCCAAGGGTGCTTGGGTTCTTTGTTTCTGGTACATATTTCAATTCACCATACGCGACAGGCTTAGCTGACGATCTACAGGACTTCGCAAATCTGGCGGGCTAGGGGGCCCCGTTCCGATCGCCTTAATAGCAGTGGTGTTATCCCACGTTGCCCATTATTTCTCTGTCCTGGCTCTTCATCGTCTTTCGGCCAATATTTTTGGCGAGCAGACGGTCACTCAGAAACTCATCTGTTTCTTGTCTGCTGCGCTCCATATCATCTGCCCAGCGGGTGCTTTTCTCTCTGCCCCTTATGGCGAATCGATCTTTTCGTTCCTCAACTTTTCAGGGTTCTACCTTTACTCAGGATCTCTCATCTCTGAGCGGCATGGGGTGACAGTCCTGCGTGATCTGCAGGTTCTCACTGCGGGCGCGTTTTTTGCCATTGCCACGATGGTCCGCAGTAACGGCATCCTGAGCGGATTCTTGTTCGCATATGACGCCGTCCTCCTGATATGGGCATGCTTAACCCAGGGTCTATCCACCCACAAGATGCGTCGACTTGTCATCATAGGAGTGGGTGGTGGCACTGTGGCACTTGGGATGCTTGTACCCCAGCTTCTAGCCTACCGGACCTATTGCCTGACCGACCTAAATCGAGAATGGTGTGGCTGGACACTACCTAGTATATACACTTGGGTCCAGAACTACTATTGGTAAGTCGTCAACCTTCTGCTCAGCAGACTTGGTAATTTTATTGCAACCCTGACCCCTTTCTAGGAACGTTGGATTTCTTCGTTACTGGACTGTCTCCAATATTCCTCTTTTCCTACTCGCTGCACCGATCCTATTTATCATGGGCAAATCATCTGTATGGGCTCTTCGAGCGCCCTCTACTTTGCGCTCCCGATCTGGGAACCAGGCGGCTTCGCCTCTTAGCCCGGGCTCCATGCTCTTCCGCCTGGCCGTGCCCCAGGGCTTACTGGCGATCATGGCTTTAACGAGTTATCATGTCCAAATCGTCAATCGGATCTCGTCTGGGTATCCTGTATGGTATTGGTATCTCGTATCGATCGGCATGGAATGCCTCCAAAATCCCCGCAAGAACCACCGCAGTTTAGCGCTTGCCGCTCAAGCCATGGTGGTCTATGCTCTGATTCAGGGGGTTCTATATGGCTCTTTCTTACCGCCGGCGTAAGACTGCACGTGTCAAAATATTTGTTAATCCATAGAAACATTGGTTATTTTTGTTTGTTTCTCCGCTTTTACGTACCTCGTACCCGGGGCGGGTTTGTACGCCGGTTGCGTAAGGTAGTGTCTGCCTAAGAAAGAGTTGGGCCATTTAGGCGCGCTTGACTGCCCGGCGAAATTGGAATTATTGCCTGCTATTCTTCCACTCGAGAAGCCAAGTTTAATGAGCGAAAACGTATCAGATATACCCAAGCTAAAGTTTTAATCCACCTTTCGATCTAGTTTCGGGAGTTTTCCACGCGGGTCTCTCTTCAAGCCGCAAGGCCAAAGCTTTAACGTGGAATTATGTCATCCACCTTCTGCGAACATCTCCTTTGATTTGATCATCTTCTCTCCCATTGCATCATCGTGAAACGATTCCTAAAAGAAGCATTTCATTATTGATTGCTTCCTGCAGTTTACTCGACCTGCTTCTTGCTTGAGCCCCAGACTTTCAACCGCCTGTCTTGCCCGCAAGGACCTCATGCGAACCCGGCCGTGTGCAACGCAATCCGCCGGCCAACACTTCCACACCTGCTGGAGGGAAAACTTCCTGTGGTAGATGTATAGCTCCCTGGCCAGGCTTAAGATTGATTGAGATCAAATAAGGCTGGATGTGAAGGATTGTGAAAAGTCGAAGTTGCTGACACATCTTATCTACAGAGCCCTCTCTGACGTCTACGCCAACTCGTCCGGCCCCATCTCCACCTCGTCTTGCTTAACCCCCCTCTCCTCCCTCACATGCGACTATGGATGCCTCCACCCCCAAGGCGATTCTCACATCCGACAACTTTCCCCATGCACAAGAGATCTCGCGGGCCACCTCGCCAGGTGGTGAGCCCGCCGCCGTCAACGGCGATGGCGAGCCAAAAGCTCGCGTCCGACCGCGCACCTACCCATACTTCTCATACCTCCCATATCAGCTTGAAGATGAGACAGAGCGAGATCGAACCCTTCGAGAGATTCTGAATCAGCTTTATATCTCGGTGGAGGCTGGGGACTTCAGTCCCGGAGCTGTGCACTGGACACGCGAGCTCAGAGGCTGGCTCTCGCTCAAGTTTGATCCGACCCGGACGGAGAGGATCAATCTCGTGAAGCTCTATTATGAGCTCGCCTTGGCGCCAGGCATAGACCCGAATGTAGCAGAGCGATTTGCGAGCATGTTCATGCTTCTCACTAAGTGAGTTGGGCTTTTCTACTTTTTGGGAATCGCCAGAGTACATCGACACTAACTGTGAGGCAGGCGCAAGCACTATTTGAGACCCGTCAAGGACCTAGTCTTGGACTGGAAACCTCTTTACAAGGAGCTAAAAGCCTTTGTTCTCCCCACTGAGTCCGGTCTCGTTCACTCGACTAACCTTAAGCGGAATGTCAAGACATTGACCAAGCTTTGCGCATTTGCTCAGCTATTCATCGACCCCTGCGAACTGCCTGCGATGCTTGAGGAGTTCCTACCTCACTACACCACCTCATTTTCAGAAGGCGCCTTTGTGGTGGCTGGGCTGATTAACCTCATGCTTCCCACATCACCTCCTCCCGCTGAACGCAGCGATCTACTTCCGCAGAACTATTTGCCAACACATTTCCATATTTGGTCTCTTGTCGGTCGTTCAAAGACGTTTGATACGACGTATCTCGATTACCTCTCGCGGTTGGCACGGGATTCGCTTCCAGCCGGGCACATTCCATTCTCAGAGCATGGTATCTTCACAAAGGAACAGTCCGCTCTCATCTTCACTGCAGTTCTTCGACTACTTGAAATCCCGGTAGGACAATCCACGTCACCGTACAGCGCTCTGGTGGATATCTCATCAGGCCTGGGTATCATGCTTGATCGTGATACGCGCAAGCATCCTGTTGCCCACCATATTGCTCGATGGATTGTCTTGTCTCTTTCACCTGCATGCCTAGACTCAGAGGACTCGGTTCTTAGCCAGCTTGAGGGTCTGATCCAAGCAGTTGAGACATTCTTCCACCCTTCGAACTCGGGTACCTGGACGAGGACCTTGTCGCAGCTTGTATACTATTTAACTGATTTCTTCGTGATGCGATGGAACCGTGAGCAGAGCGGGGAAATGGACGTCCCGGTCGAACGGCGACTCAATGAGCCCCTAAAGCGTCGCTTCGTTTTATGCTTAAGAGATGCGATCTTTATGGGTATCTACGCCAAAAGTAGTACCGCCATGACTTTCTCCCTATCCACCCTTCAAGGCCTTGCCTATTTGGAGCCACACCTCATTCTGCCTGGTGCTTTGCAGAGAATCTACCCGTCTCTCCAAGGCTTGGTGGAAGTTCATAGAACCACTTCTTCGCTGCGCGCCATGCAAGTCTTGTCTCGCGTCATTACGCGAACCAAAGGCTACCGCTGCCATATGACGACTCTCCTAGGCCTCGCTTTGCCTGGCGTTGATGCTAATGATCTCGAAAAGTCTCTTCATGCCCTTTCCTTTATTCAAACTGCATGCTATAACATTCCGATGGTTGACATGACCAAGGGAAGAGAAGATGTCAATTGTAATATGCTCGCGGTGCAATGGATTACCGGTGAAATGGAGAGGATGGAGGAACAGGGATCCGAAGTGCAGCTGAACTATGAGAGTGAGTTGGACGATGAGACGGAGGAAATGATTCTTCGCTCTTCGACCTGTGGCTTCGGCGACTTCACCATTTCATTCCTTGGACGTGTTTTCACCCTTCTAGAGAATCTCCCAGATGTTACCAGAGTGCGCAATGGCTCGCCAGAGGAGAACATTGTCAATACCCTTCCTGCCACCTTCATGCCTCTCCTCGCCTCCCTTTCGCCAGAGTATTACGATATTGCACTGGGAAAGATTGTTGACTTCGTATCTAATCACGTTATCCACCAAGCGCGAGATGCCATGGCTTTCATTTGCAACGCATTGTGCAAGGTCAATCCCGAAAAGGCTCTTAAGCGGTTCATACCTGTGCTGATTCAAGGAATCCGTACCGAGATTGAGGAGAACGGTGCGGGCTCTACGAGAACAACCGGCACTGATGTTCTTCCTCGTGATCGTGGATTGGTTTGGAACGTCAGTATGTTGAGCATGTGTGTCGTCCATGTCGGTGATGCTGTTCTTGCCCACCGGCAAGAGCTCTTCGACATTGCCGTTTACATGCAGAAGATGTGCCGCGGTATCCCGACGGTGCATATTTCGAATTATATTCACCACCTCTTGCTCAACCTGACTGGCACGTACACTAGAGATTACAGCATGTATGAGCCGGCCGACGTTGAGGGGGGCGTTCAGCCTAAGCACTGGAGCTACAGACTTGATGTGAACAAACTTAGCATTCAATGGCATGTGCCCAAGCGCGAAGAGCTGGAATTTGCCGTTGAGGTCTTCAAAAACCAAGCTGAAACCGCTTTGCGGCATTTGTCCGGCTTGACAAACGAGACCTCCAGCGTCAAGCGCGATGGCAGTGGTAAGGAATGGTCCGACGAAGTTACCCGAAATCTTGTTCTTCTACGACTTCTTCTTTCCGGAATCTCGGTACTCTTTGATCCCAAAGCTGCTTCGAAATCCTCCCCGGAGTTCTCGAATGGCGCGTCTTCCAGTTCCAGTGAATTTGACATGGTCGATGACGCAGCTACAAATGGTGTAAGTGAAGAAGACGCATTTCTTGATAGCTCCGACGAAGCATTGGTCAAGGAAGGTTTCCCATACCCGACTGGATACCCTCTCCAGGAAGGTGACGTCCTTTACGAGACCATTCACGAGATCCGTGAACGGGCGGGCTGGGTTCTGCACCTGGTACACCGATTCTTGTGTGACAAGCAAGAAGACGATGTGCCATGTTTCGGGGCACTTTACTCGGCCTTCCGCTCTTGGTTTGTCGACGTTGGCATTGAGAGATCGGCTCATGTCCTTGATCGAGTAACGAGACTCTTGGCAGCAGACATCCACCCTTATAAGATGAGTGGTATCAGGAAAGATTATCCAAGGGCACTTCTTGTACGCAGAGCAAATGTCTACCATCTGCAGCGTCTACGACACAATGCCGCGCCCCGATCACGGTCTAAACTCGATGAACTCCTTCTTTTTGACATTGCTGAGTCCTGCGTTTCTCTTTATACCGAGACCCGCCGCAATGCTCAAAATGCTGGCGAGTCAGCCCTTAAATCTGTCTGGGGTGCACGATCTCTCGTTATCCCCCCTCTTCTGAAGGCCCTCCAGACTGGTGTCAAAGAGAACGATCACGCGCGTATCAAGGGAGCCTTGTTTTCGCTGTTGCTCAGTAGCGTCGCAAAGACAGTTGGACGGAACTGGAAATATACACCAGCTTTAATTCGCACCTTCCTCGATGCCAGTGCGGTCGACAAGCCATCTGTCCAGAAAATCTGCTCTACTGCTGTGTTCCAAATAATGGACTATGGCCGATCCATGGAGAGGATGGCAATCTTAGACCAGGCCATTGTGGAGGCGATTGCTCCCACTGGAGACGTGACTACAGAGATAGACCAGAAGCGGGTGTCCATCAATAAGAAGCGAGCTACTATAGAGAAAAAGAAAGCTGATCTAGCTGATGAATTGGTGAACTTGGCTCGAATCTCCCATTGGAAGATTGCCAGCCGTGCCGCGACTATTGTCATCACCATGGGTCTGCGCTTCGATTATATTGCCAGCGGCAACCTGATCGAGCTGGTGACTCTCGGGTCGATTGACGATCATCCAGGTCTTCGCGGAATGTACTCACAGGCACTCATCGCGCTTTTCACCATGATTGATGTTCGCGCCATCTGCAGCCATGAGTACAAGAACTACATCCTTGGACACCAGCGCTTCCCTGCAAAGATCAAGGTAGCAACCCGTCCCTATGAGAAGGACTGGACTCAAAACTATTTGAGTAGCTTTGCCAAGCCTGAAGCTGAGTACTACGTTGATCACGACTTCCCTGGTTGGCTCATTTGGGGTAAGACCATGCCAGCGTACAAATCCAATCTGGATCGAGACATCGAATATGATGAACTCGAGTGGAACGTGCGGACCCAAATGGGTAAATTGTTCACGCGCGACTGGTTTTCCAAATATTTCATGTACTTGAAGCAGGAGCCCAGGGATCCCTCTGCCGATAAGTTTCGAATGTCTTCTGCCATGATGCTTCTCTATGCCTTCGAGCTTATGCTCCGAGATGGCCTTACTGCAGCCTCTTTCAAGGAAATCCAAGAGGAGATCCAAGCTGTTTTTGAGGATGGCAGCGATAAGCACCAGCATCGGGCCACTGCGGAGATTCTCGGGGCCCTGATCAGTTCTGTCACAGATACCAGTGTGGAAAGGCGCACTTTGGTTTGGGAGTACGCTTTCCCTATCATTCGGAAGATCTTTACCGATGGCCTCACTCCTGAAAATTCAGGATACTGGACTACATTCCTCCACATGATTCTTCAATGCCGTGATCCCCGCCGAGCCTGGCCTATGGTTGATTGGTTAGCGAGCTTCCGCTTGGATATGACCACCAACGCTGCATTTAAGGAGAGTTCCAAGATCAATCTCCTGCATCAGTGCATCATTGATGCCGGCTGGCACTTCCAGCTGGACAAGCCAATTGTCGAGGATTTCCTGGCACATTTGGATCACCCGTACAAGGGTGTGCGAGAAGCTATGGGACAGACCTTAGCAACAATTCACCGCACCAGATACCACGAGTCATATCCCGACCTCCAACATCTGCTGGAGGCTCAGAAATCCTCTTCGTCGGTCGGCAGTTACCCGTATGCTCCTTCTGACGACTTCTCAAAGATGATCCGGGGAGTCTTCACTCAGATTGAACAGTGGCGACAGGCTAGAACTCCAGGCCAACAGACTCCTTCTTCATACACGTCCGGTAGCAAGACGGTGCTTCTTTGGCTGGATTCAACTCTCTCATCCCACGAGTGTACACAACTGGTTCCATTCTTCCCCGATGTGTTTACCGCTCAGCTTCTGCACATGATGGACGTAAAGGAAGATCCCGAGCTACAGTCTCTTGCATATCACGTTTTCCGCCACCTCCCCAACATCCCCTACCCTGCTGAAAAGGGCTCTGAGTTCATCCAGTCCCTCATCCGCATCGGCCAAACCTCCCCGTCATGGCATCAGCGTCTGCGTGTCATGATCAACATTCAGATCATCTACTTCCGCCGACTCTTCCTGTTGGACTCTGCCGATCGTGACAAGCTTTTCGAGTGCATCGCTTCCATGCTTGAGGATTCGCAACACGAGGTCCGTGCAGGTGCATCGGCCACTCTGTCTGGTATGATCCGCTGCTCCCCAGTGTACCTTCGCGACAAAATGGTCCACCGCTTCCAGGAGCGCTTCACCAGAGTCCTCGCCGACAACCCCCTTTCCCAAAAAGCCCAAGAACTTCCGATCTGGAATCTCGTCCGCAGTGACGTCGGGTGCGGGCACACCTACTCCCGAGCACAATCGTCTGGTAATTGTTCGTCACGGCGCCGTTCTAGGCTTGGGTGCTCTGGTTCAGGCGTTCCCTTACAACAGCCCCCCCCGCACTGGATGCCCGAAGCCTTGACTACGCTCAGCATTCGTGCTGCTCACGATCCAGGCGTTGTAGGTTCAAGTGTGAAGTCGATCATCAGCGAGTTCAAGAAGACCAGACAAGATACTTGGCACATCGATGCCAAGGTAAGTCCCAATTTCAATTTTCCAACCCCATAGCACATGCGCTAATCAATGGACTCAGGCCTTCACCCCCGATCAATTGGAAGATCTATCTGGCGTCCTATGGAAGAGCTACTTCGCGTAAAGTATAGCGACATAATCATACCTAGTTATTACTAGCATGGTAATTCTGTGGTGTGTTGATATAATGTCTTTTTGTCTTGAGTACGGCTGTGCGTTACTCTATTTTCATGTGGATCAAACCTCGAGTTGCAGATGGAATGTTCCCGTGTTTGTGTCCATGGATGTGTTGTACATACCTGGATCGAGTCTTGAAATAATTCCAATCATGACTTTCTTATTTGAATTAATTTCCCAATTTGGACGTAGTAGGGATCCGCCTCCAGGGCTCAAGCATTAACAATGGATTTAAGGGAATTCTGATGAATTTCCAGTAAGGCTCTCCAGGCTCTTCGACCCTGAAAGTTACCCCTGGCTTGGAATTGATGGTCTATAAAGAGTCATGATTATCCAAGCTTGCCGCGTTAAGGATGCTTCTTGTGCTGTAGATGTTAAGAATTAGCTCCTGATAACCACTTGGTAATTTGATTTAGATCTGTGCTGCAAAAGTTCGTGGAATACATAATGCTCCAGAACCTCCGTCTGTTTTCAAATCCAATTGAATCTTCAGCAAGCCTTGAGATTCCAAATTGGAGAATTTCAGGTTTTTCGCGATCTATACCAATCGATTCAGGTTCAACAGTGCCTTGTCCCGAAAGTCTTCGTGACATGTTTCACAGTTGAAATCCGTATCACGCGCAATGGAACCTTAGCGTATTGACTTAGAGCAAGAACTATAACAAGGGCAGTACGAAAGAGATTATCACCAATACTGTTCTATATGGAGTCTGTCATACAGAGACCTTTCACATACTACCCGATTAGTCGTCGGCCGTCAATACCGCGTTATGATGACATCGTAGTTTCTTGGGACAGCGCTCTTGCCTTTACGCGTTCATGCCACTCTCCGAAGTGACCCTGGAAATCACTTTCTTTTCATCCTTCTTTGTGACTCTCATAACTACGGCCTTCAGATTCGGTACAATGCCTGTGCAAAATAGCCTTTATCGTTCATTGACTGAAAAGTCGTGGCCGATGCTCCTGAAGATGCCCAGCAAGGACCCAATTGCCTTTAAGGCCCGAGATCCGCATTCCGTATGGAAGAGAAAGTGGGTGCATTGGATTGGCTGGCTAGTCTTTGTGGTTACAGTTGTTGAGACATTCGCACATCTCGCTGCTCGTCCAGACATATCTCTTCTGCGATGGCTCAGTCCTCCAAGCAGTTCACCTGTCCTTCGACCAGGACAATATCGGGAGACTGGGGGCTTTCAAAACACTCCCAACAGTCAAAATGAAGATGAGAGTGGGGTGAGTGATATGGGGAGCCTTCATGACGTGAGGTTTGTGCTAAAAATACAAATTCTGCTTTTATTGACATTGATTACAACTAACCTCACTACACGATCTTTATAGAAATAAGCAGTTCTACCTAGGCGGAACTCTGACTCTCACGAGTTCTGACCCTACGATTCCCGGTTCTCCCCACCCCATTCCCTCGATCTATGATCCCTACCCACTGTACAACAGCAGAAAGTGGCGACGGAAACATCATGGCCACTTCAAAGCTTGCTTGGGGCCTCGGGGTCGTGATCTCGATCGTAATCAACCGGATGATATGGTCATGGTATACAAGGGAAAGCAAGCCGGGTTTCCGCCACCAAGTTTTGGCTCACACGAGGCAATGGATCTGGATGGAGATGTATGTACGGACCGATACTCTCGCTTCGGCGCATATGGCTACGATGACGAGAATGATGATGAGATTCCAGGTTTTTCTAGGCCGCCACCGGTGAATTGGTTCGAGTTAGACTGGTACAATCTGCAAGCTCTTTGCTATGAGAGAAACGCAGACCGGTATCGGCATGACTGCTCGATGAACGAGACGGGCCAACGACCTCTCTCCTTTGAACTGAGAGAGCCGCCGAGAAAGCCCTATGAATCGGATACGACGTCTGATTCCTCGAGAGGGAAACGTCATCAGCCCCGGTCTGCCGTTCTTATTCGAGCATGGGATAGTATGATCTGGACCGCCAATCACCGTGAATACCTTCGTGCGTTGATAATGGAGCTGTCGTTGCACTCGGGCGGGGAATATGAAGTGTTCCTGTTGGTTCATGTCAAGGATGATGATCTCCCAATTTTCTCAGACCGAAAAACGATGGAGAATCTTCGGAGATCTATCCCAGTGGAGTTTCGGAACATTGCTTTGTTCTTCAACAATAAATTGTTGGAGGCGTGGTACCCCAAAATCGAGGAGCATAGGTAAGATATTGACTGTTGATTGTTCCAAACATTCTTCACTACGACTGACGTCTCTCAGCCCAAAACTACAGCACCACCAAGCACTGCAGATATTTTCACAATTGTATCCTAACTTCGAATACTACTGGCAGCTCGAGATGGACGGTCGTCACACGGGACATGCTTACCACTTTCTTGAAAGATCGGCTGCATTCGCAAAGCAGCAGCCTCGTAGATACCTATGGGAGCGAAACGCCTATTTCTACACTCCTGGTGCTCATGGGCTCTGGAAGAACTTTACTGCAATGGTCAACGCAAGCCTCGCCGACAAGCCTGAAGCCACAGTCTGGGGCCCCGTGTATGGAACAGGAATTCGACCCCTGGGCCCTGAGCCACAGGTCGAGAGTCCCTTAAATGATAGTTTCACTTGGGGCGTCGGCGAGGAAGCTGACCACATCACATTTCTCCCTATCTTCAACCCAAAAGACACGCAATGGACCTTCCCCAATGAAATCTGGAACTTCAAATATGGTATTGAGACGCCTCGTCGAACAGCAGTTATCACTATGGGCCGGTACTCCCGACGCCTCCTGGACTTGATACATCATTCACAAGCCACGCGTGGCCTGGGTCTTGCATCAGAAATGACGGGTGCCTCCTGGGCACTCTTCCACGGCCTCAAGGCTGTGTATGTTCCGCACCCGATATACGCGGATGGCCAGTGGACGCCGGAGGAGCTGGCAAGAATTTACAATCGGGGACCGCCGGAGAATATCAACGGTGGTCCAGATAGCATCTGGAATTGGGATCACGTCTATGATCACATCATGTATCGCCTTTCATACATGTTTACCACGCATACGGGGGAGAATTTATACAGGCGATGGCTTGGCTACCGGACTGCAGAGAATGAAGGTGGCAAAAAAGTATGTCTTTTTTGCATGATGTGTTTCTAGGATGACTGTTGCTGACCGTGTTCTTTATAGTCCTCTGAAGCTCGCTTTGGCAGACCTTGCTTCCCATCGATGTTCCTGCATCCCGTCAAGAATACCGATCGACGGATTGGACCGGACAGAGCTGTTCCCTGATCACTTGATTTCTTCCAATGTGCATCTTCTTAAAGTCACAAATCGGTTTGCAGATTTTATTAATTCCTTTCATGTCGAACATTATCTTATGGATTCACCTGTCAATGTTTTATGGAGCTCTAATGCATGTTAGCTCGAGTTAAATTAACTCAATTTAAATGTACTAATAGGGCGCCCTCAAAATAAAAGTGATCATACAGTGAGAGGAGCCAAAAGACGCGCTTCTTGAACTCACTATACGCGCCGTACCTTCCATGGTCAGCCATAACTGCCTCGTGGTTGGGAAAGGAACCCACCAGTTGCTATAAAGTGACATCTGGATACTGCCTTCATAATTACGGCTGGAATTAGCTTCGATCTGCTTCTGAAATAGGTCTATTACTAGTGAGATAAAGGGAAAAAGACGAATGCGTAAAAATATGTACTGGAAACCAAAACCGAAACAACAAAACCAATCCAATAAAAGTAAAGAGAACCCAGAAATGGCAAGCGTAGCCAGTGTGAAGCCTCTTTTTGTGTTCCCTTCCGTTAATGCAATCCAATTTCATACATCATTACAAAAGGCTCGAGGGCGTCTGATCATCCTCGGACATTATACTTCTCATTGAAAGCGTTGACCGCTGCGAAAAAAGGAGTTAGCTTCAACATCAGAGAAAACTATTCATTTAATATGTGACTCACCAACAGCAATCTGTCTGTACAACCAGTTTCGGGAACTCTCATCCTGGACAGGAATGAAGGGCCCATTGGCACCACCCTTAAGTGTGATACTCATGCCAGTCCGCTCCTTGGAAATTGTTTGAATGTCTGTGAGTCGAATATCCCACTCGGTATAGAGCTTCTTGGTGCGCACAAGCATGATGCGGGCATAAGTCAACATGACCAGCATGTCTCGGCCTGGAAGCTCCAAGTGTGCAATGTAATCCTCGTTGAAGTATTTGCCGTCATCGGTGGTCTTGAGCCAGAACTGACCGAGTGCTTCCCGCTGAGTATATGGTCGGACAATACCGTCTGTGCCAATGAACCGGGTCAGTCGGACACGGTCAAGGCCGTCGGCGTCGAAGACGGTAGTCGTGTTCCGGACTCCCTCGGCGAGATTGGAAGCAAGGTCAAAGGCTCCGATGGCGGGTTTGGTGGCAAGGCCCAGAACACCCTTTCCAACGCCCTTGAAGAATCCTGCCACTCCTTCTTTCTCGGCACCTTGCAGTGGGTGGCGAGCAAGACCGCCAATTCCACTGGCCAGACTGTTCGCAAATGCATTTCCACCGGCAGTAATTCCGTATAGGGCGTGCTTCGGTCGGTTACGAGACTTGGACATCCGGCGCTGGTCTTGGAACTCCTTGTCCAGGGTGGCGGCAGCAAGACCCTTAGACATACTTCCAGTAAATTTGGCCATACTGTCCGATAAGCCGAAGACGGATTTCTTAACGAAACTGGTAGCACCCTTTGCGATGCCAACACCCAGCTCTTGGGGACGGTCAGTCATGACCAAGCCCTGGTATGGCTCGTAGAAGATATCCGCCACGCCTGAGCTGACGGTATTGAACAGACCAACGGGATTACCCAGGAAATCGGCAGATCCAAGGATGATGTGTACTTGGCGCACAAATTCCTGGGTATAGTGGGCGCGGACGTTGCTGACAAGTCTTCCGAAGGAGACACGAGCATTTTCCAGCATCAGGGCGTTCAACCGGATAGGTGCATCGTTGACATTGCCCATAGACATGGTCATCACGTTGACGATGAACATCAGAGGGTTGGATGGCTGCATAGCACCATCCTCTGCATTGACACGCTCTGTTCGCATGAAAGAAATATCCAACTGCATGGGTTGCAAGTGGAGAAGCTCGAAGTACACATCTTGACCTGCTTCGTTCTGTTGCGGTTCTGGGATGTTCAAATCCCCATCACACAACTTACCCTCTTGTTCCTCGGTCCAGGATGCACCCGGAATCTTGGCAAAGTCCAGCATAGCGAAGACAAAGTCCTCGTCTATCTCAAGCGTCATCTGCTGCAGGAGAAGTGTGGCGTATTTGATGTAAAGAACGCCATAAGAGTCGTCTTTGACTCGTGTGACCATCGCATGGAAAATCGGATGAGCTTCCATTTCTTTCCCGGTTTTAGGGACCACACTGGGGTAAAGCAGGATCGGGAAAATACCACCATACAACTGATTATCGATCTGTATCCACTTGATAGTTGTGTTCAAGGTCTGGTACAGTGCTGACTCCCGAAACTTGATCTCAATCTCTCGGAATGTGAGGTAGAGAAGTTCTTTCAAGTTCTCATTGATGAGGGAGATACCGATGCCGCCTAGGCGGAGCTGAGCCTTGAAGTTCACGTCCGAGTTCATTTCCTTAACTTCAAATCCGGCAGTCATGTTGTTCTGTGAGGATTGGCCCTTCTGTTGCTTGTATATACTCTTGGAGGGCTTGAAATTGGAAAGAACAAGAGTTTGGGTGGGCCCATCAGCCACAATATTGATATCGACGATTTTTTGGTACTCGCCGGGCCTCGATGGCGGGATACGCATTGGAATCAAGTTACCGATCTCAGCAAGCTTGATGTGTCGCTCTTTGCCTTGGGAAGACAAGACAAGAGATTTGTTCTTGGTTGCTGGGTAATCCCAAGCATAAGGCATGATGCTTCGAGGTGGGAGACGGTAGCGGATAGGCCGCCAGCCACTTGAGTCATCTTCCTCATCATCGTCCACGTTAGGATTCTAAAGAGATAATACATTAGTGTCAGAAGGAAACGCGGTGACGATGTGTAAAGACTTACGGCCTGGTGGAAAATAAACTCGATGTCACTCTCATTCCGCATCGAGAACGGCCAGTTGCGGGTCTCAAAGCTGAGGTGCAGGAAAATAGTTGCCCCTTCCAGGATAACATCGACCTTGATCAGTTTTTGGCGCTGATTCGCTGACTTGGCCAACTTGACGTGAACAGTTCCGACATCTGCAATGTTGAACGGAGACGACCATTGGTTGTTCACCCCGGGGAAACACAAGCAGAGCTGTTTTTCTTGGACTTGGCGTAGGAAGTGAAGCGGAACCAACTCTCCGCTCTTGAGCTCGAGGACATTCGATGAGCCAGGTTCACGCACCATGAGGTCTTCAGTAAGTTTGCTCTTCAGAATGAATCTAGGCGCAATAGTAACCACCTTGGTCATCTTGTATTTGCCTTCGCCCTCAACCACAGACACTCCAGAGTGGAATTCAGATCTGCCTTGCCTGTCAGGGAAAACGACCTCAAAGGTGCTTCCAAGAGCCTCAAAACTCTGAGGCTTGCTCCACGTGGAATCGCCAACCTTCAAGATAGATCGGTTCTTTTGGTCATCAGATCCGTAAGAGTACATATAGGGCAACGCACGACCACCATCTCTCGGGTCAACCCTAAGACCTTGGCCAGCAACATTGCGAGCAGACTGTAGGAAGGCCTTGCTTTGAATGTCCATAGGCAGACCAGTCTTGTTCAAAAGGAGATATGGGCTGTAAACCGAGACCTTGAAGGCACCACCGCTATTAGGAATATTGAAGTAATGAAGCTTCAACTTCAACTGAAGACCCCGCTCGTCCTTCAAAGACAAGGTGTGCTCTCTGCGATAGTCCTGAGAATTTCCGTTGACAATGGCAAACTCGCTCTGTCGGAAAACCGTATCTTCAAGGTCAATACTGAGCAGGAGAAGATGAGATAACTCCACTACATGCACAGGGCTAACACCACCCTTTCTCAAGAAGTTAGTCCAGTCCTTCTTGGTGTTCTTGTCGTATATGCGGTACTTGAAGTCATAAGGCAGCAAGTTCTGAATTTCCACTGGTGCAAAGATTCGAATCCGCATGTAAGGATAAGAGCTTGTAGTCGAGTCTTTGTTTTCGATTGTTGCATTGACCTGGAAGTAGAACGGTGGTGCTTGGCCTCCATTTTCACTGACGCATTGCACGGTGCGTGTCGGGCGGCGGATGAGATCTTTCCAGAACAACCGTTCGTTTGACCAGTCATAGCCAAAGCCCTGGTCAGGACGAATTACAACCGAATGGAGATATGCTGAGCCGACCGGTGCTGGCCGAGCATCACCAGGCAAAACCTTCTCGATCTTGAGGAGGTGACCTTCGTCAGGACTGAACACACCCAACTCGACAGGGATTTGAGTGTTGTTCTCCACAAGAAGTGGCGAGCGGAAGGTGATGTATTTGACGTTATCAGCTCCAAGTTTGACTTCCACAAGAAGTCGGTGGAGAACATTATCTCGCTTCGGCTTCAGACTATACAAAACCTCTCCTTCTCGTACAACGGGAATGCGGTTGATGCTATCAAATCCACTTCCTTCCAGCTTAACGCCGACGATTCCGCCCTGCCCTTCAGGAGAAAGAGTTTCACGAATAGCTGTGGACTCTTCAAACCGCCAAGGATACTCCTCTCCGTCCGTCAATTTCGCAGCCGGGCCATCTTCTCCTGGGCCGACATCGGCCCACACATGGAGATCAAATCCGGTGTAGTTGCGAATTCTGTAGGGGGCATCTGCACCTCTAGGCTTAGAAAGAACATCTTCGTCGGTAGAGAGGAACTGGAAAGACTTTGAGGCAAGTGCAATAGTGGCCGAGGTCAATGTGAGCTCCATATTCTTGTGCGAATAAGCATCAATTGAAAAGACATCCGGATTGGTTTCCTTCGCCATGTGGAAACCAAGTTGCCAAGGTTCGATCAACGGCTCCCAAGCCGACTTGGAGAAGTTAAAGACGTTGACGAAAGTATCAAAGTTCGTATCAACACTCAAGGTAGAAGACCAGTCGCGCACATCAACGTTGAATTTTTTGACGCTCCAATCCAGTAGAGGCAAGTCATGCAAATCACCGATCAAAATGACACGGACACCATCAATCTTGGCTGACAGCTCCTCGCGCTTAAGGACAGCCGAGCTTTCAACTCCCACGGTCTTGTCGAGTGTCTCAGCCCCCTGACTGACCTGGCGACGAGTCCTATGGGCCAAGGTCGTGGATG